CGCCCCCTCGGCGGTCGGGTCTGTCGTTACGAAGAAGAGAGAAGTTTTTAATAGAAAGGCCTCTAGTGTCCTTAGCTTTGAGATTAGTTTCCTGTAGGAGGAGGAAATCGACTTCACGATTCCGAAGAAAGAGCTTGAGCTCTGGGAGGTTATTTCGCAAGCCGCGAATATTAAATGATACAAACGATAAACCCTTAGGTTTGATACGACCGTGAGATCTTGGTAGGTTAATTCACTCAGTCATTGAAGTTAAGTTAATTAAGTTAACCTAACTTACAACGCTAACAGAAGGTTAACAAGAACGAGGAGACGTTCTTGGGGGGACTTGGCCGCGCGCAGTTTGCGTGATACTACTGTTATTTCCCTAACATCGATATTCCTAATAGCGGAATATAGCGTGTTGTAGTCGTCGATTGTGGGCTCTGCTTCATGAGCGTACGAGGTTGTCCGCGGTGGGTCTGCCTTTTTGGGCCCCCAGGGAAAGACTGGAGGCTGCATTGGCTTGGAGAAGCCCGGAGGGGGGCCGAATTATGCCCTGAGGGGGCCTAGGGGGGACCCTGAGAGGGTCGAGAGAAGCCCTGGGTGGGCTGAGAAAGGCCCTGACGGGGCAGTTTTTGGAGGGCCGGAAATGAGCGGTCATTCACCGGCGGTGGAGCTTGCCTACTGGGGCGAGGTTGAGGTGCGCGTGGGCAACCCTTGTAATTAGCCGGGTGTCCTGTCTGGTTGCACAGGACACAAGCGGGCGGGGATTCGGCGTCTTTGGGCCGGGGACACTCTTTCGTGTTATGTGGTTCTAGGCACTTAACGCACCTGGGTGGGGCGGAGCAGTTGGCCGCCGCATGACCATAAAGTTGGCAGCGTTGGCACTGCGCCGGGAAACCGGGCCTATGTGGGGGCTCTACCTTCACCCTCGACAGGCCACACACTGTGCGTACCTGCCAGAAGATGGCTTTAGCCTCCGGCACGTTCGATAAGATTACTAGGGCAAGGTTGTATCTCTTGCCCGTTCTGTTGTGCATTTTGTGCACGGCTTCGACGGGAAAGTCTTGGGACTTAAGGTCCTCAAGTATTTCCTCGTTCGAGAACTCAAAGGAGACGCCTCGGATGACGGCCCTGACTTTACGCTCTTCCGGGAGAGCGTAGGTGTGGTAGGAGACTCGTTCGGCTGTGAAAAGCCTGGTGAGTTTTCGGAAATCCTCGATCGAGCTGGGGATGATTTTGATAGCCTCCCCGAGGTTGACGGCATTGTCGTACTTAATTCCTGCGTCGTAGCAGGTTTTCGACAGTTTGGTGAATTTGGCCTTGTCTCTTAGGAAGACAGGGGGGCGGGACTTGCTTCTTAGCAAGGACTGGAGCACATCGAGAGGAAGGTTTAGATGGGGTTGGGAATTCAAGGGACATGAGCGGGATGGCGGCAGCGGCGGGGGCTGCGGAAGTTGGAGGAGCGGCAGGGGCCGCTGAGATAGGCGGGGTGCGTTTTATCGCGGCGCGCTTTCCGTTGCGCTTGGAGTTGACGGCAGTGAATGTGGACTCCCCGGTTCCGTCGGAGTCAGAGGACTCCGATGAACCGGAGCCTGTAGTAGTGGCGCGCCTCTTCCGGGAGGACGGCGCCGAGGACTCGGAGCATGCGTACTCCATTTCTAGGGGGGCAGATTCGAGCGGGGCAAAAGAGTTCCTCGTTTCGAGGTAAGATGCGATTACCGGCGGCGGATGGTGTGCCTGAGGGGCAGGAAGGGAAGCCTGGGCGGCGATGGTGGCTATGGCGGCGAGGACCGTCTCATTGCCGTTTAAACCGAAATGGTTAATGAGGGCGGCGAGGGACTCAGTGATACTGGGTGTGGCCATTTTGGGTCAGTAAGCTAGGCTAGGTAAAGATGAGGACGGGTCCCTGTTCTCGGTAGAACAGGGACTAGATCGCGAGACGTACTACGACACACTATACACGTAATACAAGAATAACAAGAACACAAGAAAATAAAGGAGACAGTAAAAAAAAAATGAATTGAAAAATGAAAATGATAATGAAAATGAAATGAAAAGTGAAAATGAAATGAAAAGTGAAAATGAAATGAAAAGTGAAAATGAAAAATGAAAATGAAAGCGGAAGTCAGTCAGACCTCCCGGCCCGAAGACAGGGGGGCAAGAACTGTAACGTAAAAGTGACTCACCGGCAGCCTCGACGCTGTTCCGCGTGAGCAGGACAGCGGAGGCGCGTGAGAGCGCAACAGCACTACCGTACTGTACGGGAGCGCGGGCCACCTGGAGGCGACCGTCCGAGAACGATGCCGCCGGCGGACTCCGCGCGCACACCGATCTGCATGTCTTTTATAGCCCGGTCCAGCGACGTAGCTTCGTGAACAAGAAAACAAGTCTCACGCCGGGAAACGAAACGTAGATAATAGTTGTATATTTTGAATAATTTTCATTGGTCATAATATAAGCATTATATTTGGCTAGATAAAATAAAATTTGTTACCATTGGCAAATCAATTGTGAGCCAGCCATATAAATATAGGCAAGGTTGATGCAAATATATTCCATTCCAATCCACATTCATTCCATATTCATACTTCAATCGGACTTACATAAACAGTCGTTTCATTTCTCCACCTTAAAACCACTCGTAGTCTGTTAATAGTGGACCGTCCATCTCCACTATTACAGTGCTTCCAACAACCATCGTTATAGGTGTGACATGGACATTACACGTTTCGGAAATGGTACGTCACCCTGTCTTACACCTCTCTGCAGTTGGATAGGTTTCGGACTCTGGTTCTGTACTCGGATCATCGCAGCCCTACTGTTCAAACACTTCAGCACTCTGATACACCGACAGTCAACTTGAAGTTGAAGCTTTGAAGTTTTTTTTGCGCTTGAAGGGACTGCAAAACTGCCCAAATTTAGACGGAATCAAATGCTTTCTCATAGTCCGCATACGCAAGACATAGTGGCAGATTGTACTCTTCGGACTACTGTACAATTTACCGAAGGGTATGTATGTGGTCTATGGTACTAAATCCTTTTCGGAAACCGGCTTGTTCGGGAGGCTGGAAGTCATCGAATCTGCGTGCGAGACGATTCGTAATGACTCTCGAAAACAGCACGTAGACGCCGCTCAGAAGAGAAATCGGTTTGTAGTTCTTCAAGAGAGCGTTGTCGCCTTTCTTGAAGAACAAGACCACCACACTTCTCCTTTTGCCGCATACCTCTGGAGTAGTACCTACTACCATGACGCTTTTAGAAGCTCCACTGTAATTCCATCCTCGCCTGGGGACTTGCTCTTTTTAAATTGCTGGAGAGCCATTTTAATCTCGCTCAGACTTACGTACGGCATATTATAAAGCTTCTATCGTTATCTAATCTTTCATTGATATAAATAAGAATTACAAACCTAACTCATAAACTAAATGAATTTATCGACATTGTATTTTGTTTCGCTAATGGCACATCGATAGAGGTGTCTAGAATGGAAAAACGGAACCACCTTGATAAAGAACGAAGGTGAGAACACAAACATCGTTAAGTACCTAGCATCTGTGAAGTAATTTTTAAATTATTGACAAAAAGAAACATTATAAAATGGTGAAATATTATTAAAAATAATAATAATAATAAATCAATAAGAGTTAATGATTTATATTTGTAATATCTATAAAAATTAAAATAATTTTTTTTATTTATTAATAAATGATAATAATAATAATAAATAATAATTATCGGATCATCTGAGGAGGCTGGGACTCCGTGGCGGACCGCTCCAGGCTCAAAAATGCGGAAGGCGGTGCTCCTCGATACCGCCCGCATCGTCCGCCGGTTTCTTTCCCTTTCCCCCTAACCCTCGGCCGTTTGGTCTCCCCTGCCGAGGGTCTCCATCTGGTTGGGCTTTTATTTATTTATGTGTTATTTATTTATTTGTGCTGGTATATGAAATATATATTTATGTATATTTATCATTTCTGAGAGATGAGAATACACTACTAATAACCCATAAATAATAATTATTTCGTTACTTTCTGTTTTTCTTTGAACGATATTATAATCATTTCAAACTAGCGCAAAACAGCCCGCTTTTATTGAGACAACTTAGAGATCGCAGCGCCTCACTTATTTTGTCCATATTTCTGGGACACTATTTTCTACAGCGATCGTTCTCCTGTTCCTTAACCTCCATGCGTTGATATGACATCTTACCTTTGCACCATATTGGAAAAATGTTGGCGACTATGTTATGTCATTATGTGCTCCAAAAGTTATTATATTCTGTTTCAATTAATTTGTGAGGAATGGAGATACCAGCAATTATTCGTAAATTTTTTGTATGTGAATAAATAAAAACAAATTCTGTCATGTTTCATTCAGCGTACTCACAATTAAAAGTAGTTTTAATACAGCGGGATATCCGACACAATATGGCGGCGGCACGCCAGTACAATATGGTGTCAATTAATGACGTCATTTGTATTCGCTAGTATACTGGAAACATTTGGGAACATATAATTTACATGATGTCTTTAATATAATATAGTGATTTCAATCCTAATGTCAGCAACAATCGACAGGCTATGCTTTAGTACGCAGCGATCGTTCTCCTGTTCTCTAACCCCCAAGGCTTCTCCCCTTCTGTGTTGCTCTATGCGCTATGGCTACTTCCCTCCTGTGTTGCTCTATGTAATAAACCATTGTAACTTTTACAACTATTGGTACGAATTGGCTATATATTTACTTATTAGTCTTTGGATGAAAAAAGAAAAACAAGAAATAACTCGAATTTTAAATGTAATCTATTGTATATAAATAAAGTTCAGTAACCAAGGAGACGGTAAATAGATACCAAAACAAAAATATCACTGTCCTAATTATCTACAGTAATTTATGTACCTAGTTATAATTGACAAAAACATATGTATAAATATTAAATTTAGTACTTACAATATATAATTTTAAGTAGGTTTTTCATTATATTTGAGATTACCAACTGTTGTCTAAAAAGAGAATATAAAATGAGTGATAATAATATGAGACGTCGTTCTCTTCCTTCAACTCTGCCGGCCATAGAAACATTACAGAGAAATGTGCGCCCTGTACCTACGACTTATTCCAGGTAAATTTTATAAGTTAGAAAAATATGGTAATTTAATAAAACTTGTACACTGCAGTTCAAGTTTTGAAAAATGTTTTTTTTTTTTGAAGGAAACCTCGGGACATACCATTTCATTTGCCGCATAGAAAATTACTAGAAAAAATTGAATTTGTCGAAAAAGAGCCCGAACCTTTGGTAACACTTTTAATAATATTCAATTTAATATTTTTAATTTTAAATACACCTACTTACTTAACAGTAATTTTCTCTTCTTTCCGCGATTAGAGAGAGCGAGCTTTATTTCTAACATAAATGTTGTTTCCACAGACTGGATTCTCTGCAGCCCAAGAAGAGAGGTACATTAAAGAGAAAAAACCTCCTAAGTTGCAACTGGAACCCATTAAGATTGATGAAGGTACAACAACTCGAATACGTCATTCTTCTACATTTAATACAATGGCATGCTAATATCTGCTATACCTGAAGTCAGAACCATTTTTTATGTAGGTTTCATTATATTTAACAAATTTAAATATAATGTGAGCCCTAGTAGATCAGAGGTCAAGCGCTCGATACAAATTTCGCAGTATTTGAGCAACCCGGTTTCGATCCTCGCCGACGCAATGAAATTAACAAATTACAGTTTTATTAATGCTCACTGACCCAGTGCTCGGCGGTGATGGAAAATATCGCGAGGAAACCTGAATGTCTGAGAAAGAGTATCGAGGCGGCACCGAGCACGTATCCTTGCCCTTAACCCCTTTCAGTAGTAGTTTCAGGCTGTAACGTTGCTTTTTTATTGTGATGTATTAAGATAAGCATGTTTTAACATTTTGGCATTGGTTTAATTTTAATCAGTTGACAAAAATGTAATACATACGAGGTATGAGTAATATATCAATTTAATGACTGACTCGTTGGTTTAGTAATTGTAGTAGTGCGACTGCTGATCATGAGGTCCTGGGTTCGAATCATCAACCAAAAATTAATTATTGATTTTTTTCGTCAAGAAATTCTCAGTAGTTGCCCGGAGTCAGGAAGTTGGCGGTGTCTCACCCCCGTGCCTCGGAAAGCCGTTGGTCCTTCGCCTGATCTCTCTCTGGTCGTGTCGGTTTACCGTCCCATCGGATTATGAGAGTGAGAGAATAGAGAGTGCACCTGTACTTGCGCATACACTTGGGCACTATAATCCTGTCCTGCGCCGATGGCTAGCTTCCGTTGAGGAAGGCCACCGTGGCAGAAATTCGGTCTGGAGGACATTATTATTATTGGGGTATCTATATAGTTTTCCCATCTGGCTGGGTTCCATAAATATATAATTGTAAATTAAAATGAAAAGATATATATATAAATAAATATCTATCTAATATAAATAAAAGCCCAACCAGATGGAAGCCCTCGGCAGGGGAGACCAAACGGCCGAGGGTTAGGAGGAAAGGGAAAGGAAGCGGCGGACGATACGGGCGGTATCGAGGAGTACCGCCTTCTGCATTTGAGCCCGGAGCAGTCCGTCACGGAGTCCCAGTCGCCTCAGATGACCGGAGAGGCTGACGGGTATTAGCCCTATCGCAGAGATGACTACAAGAATAATTTCGGCCGGCAGACCACCCCACATGTCGGTCACCTCGTGAGCCAGGTCCAGATATTTTGTTCGTTTATCTGTTTCGGCTTTCACGAAGTTCTTGTCATACGGAATGGTAATTTTGACCAAAAATATCCTTGGCTGTGCCCGATCCATCAGCACAATATCAGGCTTATTCGCAAGAATAGTCCTGTCCGTGATGATGACCCGGTCCCAGTAAAGCCTGGCGCGGGCATTTTCGAGCACGGCTTCCGGAAAGTACTTGTAATACGGCAATTTCCGGTCCACGAGACCGTATTTCAAAGCGAGCTCCTGTTGTAGAATTCTGGCTACTAGGTTATTATTATTGTTATAGGGGTATCTGTATAGTTTTCTCATCTGGTTGGTTTCTATAAATGTATAATTATAAATTAAAATGAAAAGATAAATATACATAAATATCAATAAAATAAAATAAATACAAAAAATACACAAATAAATAAAGATCCAACCAGATGGAAGCCCTCGGCAGAGGAGACCAAACGGCCGAGGGTTAGGAGGAAAGGGAAAGAAACCGGCGGACGATGCGGGCGGTATCGAGGACCACTGCCTTCTGCATTTGAGCCCGGAGCGGTCCTTCACGGAGTCCCAGTCGCCTCAGATGACCCGAGAGGCTGACTGGGATTAGCCCATTCGCAGAGACGACTACAGGAATAATTTCGGTCGGCCGACCACCCCACATGTTGGTCATCTCGTGAGCCAGGTCCAGATATTTTGTTCGCTTATCTGTTTCGGCTTTCACGAGGTTCTCGTCATTATTATTATTATTAATATACCAATTTTAAAGTACGTCTTGCGTGCGTTAGACTTGACGTTTACTAGTCGGGATAAAAAGCGCGAGTCAGCTTGCTATCCAATAAATAATTTATGATAGTACTTGAAAAATATCATTTAGAAAAATTATATACTAATCCTTATAAAATCATTGTCTTTTTCCCCGAAAGCACCTTTATTTTAGATTTCAGCGTGTTTCAAATTGGCTGCCTCGTTGGTCTAGTTACACAAAACGTTTAATTTATTTTATAAAATACACACGAACTTTTTGTGGAACACTTGATGGTAAGTGGTTGCTGTAGACTAAGGTAACGGGAAACCAACTTCAAGCGGAGAAGGCTACACATGCAGTCTGTAATTACATTGCAGGCGACAGAAATAGGTAAGAGGTTACCTATAGGTCCGGTCCGGACGAACGGATTTTGTCTGAAAAGGAGTCTCTACGACTTAGCGACATCTAGTATTCATGACGTAGATGATACTTGTTAGCACGTATGGTATGAGTATATATTTTCACATGTAGATCTTGTTTATTTAGTTAAAAAGAAAAAGACCCTTAAAATTAGAGAGTCAAAAGGCAGTAACGAAATTGGCGAAAAAGTAGAATACACCACTGACCCTCTGAAGGTGAAGCCAGAAGTAGCATCGCAGAAGGAAGTGATCGATTATGTGAGACGTAACCCAAGCTGCGGTTTCCTCTATATGGTCTACGCAGTGGATCCGGAGAACGTGTACTTTACACCATACTATCTAAAGTAAGTACATATTATTTACGTGGCAGAGCCACGCAGCAACTATACTCGTATTATGGTTGTAGCACGAATGGGTGGGCTCAACCGGGGTGGGACTACGCTCTCACAGAATACTTGCGTCACATAGCAGCTTAATGCTGCTGTGTTGCGTACGGTGAGTGTAGAGAACCAGGGACCCTTTTTATTGGAAACAAAGAATTTCATCTCAGTCCTAAAGGCTGACAATGCATTTGCATTTCATTCTTAATTGAGGATAATTGTAGATGTCTATGGGCCACAGCATCTAGGTTGACTGTGTGCTCCTTTGTCACCCATATTCTATATAAAAAAAACAATAACAAGAAAAGAGTTGTTACATGTTTTCCAAATTTATCGAAAGCCAACTCATACCGACACGGTCATCCCCGCGTCATCGTGTCGTCCATGGTAACAGAAATTAATCGCTGTGTGTACGTCTTTCGTAGTGTAGTTGGAAGTAGTGGTGCTGGGAAAGAGAATATAATCACTACGTTTAAGAGGCGGGACTTCCTTAGTAAAAGTAAACGTATGAAAGGGCACCAAACTACTCAACCAACATCAAGACATGACATTTAATTTTAACAAACAGTGCTGACAACATAAGCGAATTATAAAAGTGCTGTAAAGGTCTGTCCTCGAATAATTTTTTCGATATAGTTTATCGATATTTTTATATAATAATAGATCTCTATACTGAATTATTTAGAAGAAATTAAAGTTTTAACGTGGGATTGAGTAAAAATGCCGATGAGGATAAAAAGTCAATGTATTTTACACACAGCAGTTCGTAATTATATCTCTACAATTATTAGATACATAAAAATGTATAAAAACATAAAATAAACAACGCACAATTATAGTAAGGTACGTGAGGGTAATATGGTCACTTTAAACTTTGCCGCCCTTTAAACCCAAAACTGGGAGAAGGACAGAGTAACTAATATATTATGAAAATATATATAACTAGTTGATATGTTTTAGCGATAATTGGAAACACAACACTATATTACACCATAATAAAATCGACTAAAATATTTACTATAATGTGAACTGTCAAAACGGCGTCGATAAAGTTTTGACCTTTTATTATTTGATTGACTGATTGAGAGCTATCGTATCACAAACATTGACTTATATATTACTATCGTAAGGACCGGGCTGATCGAACAACTAAAACGGACCAGTGTGCTGGCCCTAAAATAACAGTTTATGGCCAACGCGAATCGGTCGACAGTAGTGCGCGCGCAGGACAGATTTGCCTGTCATAAATATGTCTAGTTAAAAGAATGCAAAAATTACGAAACAAATATTTATAAAAAACATGGGATATCGTATCATCGGTAAATAACCTTATATTAATTTTGTTACAATTAAATTATTATATAAACGCATTTTTAAAGTTTTATTTTACAGTTAGTTTAGTTACGTTACCAAGATTAGGCCAGGGCTGGATTCAGACCCTCAAAAATATTGTACATGGAAATTAAAATTATACTATTTTAAATAAATTATATCACGTTTGACGTCTCATGTTTCTTTTTTCCCATGTGCCGGGATTTTGGCGTCAGGCGTCTAGTTTATCTATACGTTTCGTTTTTTGACGATTTTATTTTTATTTCTGTTTAATTTTTGTCTAAAGAACTTTGTGTAAGTTAAATTTTGAATATTGGTACCTAATAATATTTTATATTCAATTAGAGTAAAACGAAAAGAATAGTAAAGAAACCATATCTGCTTAATTGAATCTGAAAATCTGATTAATAAAATATTTTGAAATTCTGTTTTCAAACCGATTGCTTCTGGAGCATAGGGTTTTTATCTTGGTGGCCCCTCATTAGAGTTGTATCAAGGATCCAACATAAATGCATTAATCGAGCATAATTATATATAGCTAATTCTAATTTTATTAAAAAAACGTGGTACTCATGTACAATACAAAAATTCTCGATATCGTAGGGTTAATATTAAAATTTAAAAGGACCCAATAATAATACAAGTCGATCTTTAGGTAAAATTATGGTATTTTCGCTTTATATTATTACGATATTATATACTACAAACTATGAAATAATGATACAATTAGGATAATTATACTACGAAATCCGACCCTGGTTACGTCGTGTTATGATATGACGTTTGTATTATGACAGATGCGCTACTTTTTCTTGTATGAAAAAGTTATGAGTAAAATATTTAGAAGGGCCTATCTTTCCTTTTGAAATCATCGATCACAAAGTCATCTATGCAAACTAGGCTGTATTTTTTTAAGTTATAAGAAAGTAACCATATTAACCGGATGACCATATTACCCTCACGTACTGTACATACGTTAGTAAAAAATAAAATGACGTTTAGCTGCAGCACTGCAGGACCGAGGATTCGTTCCCCCACTGAACAGGTGTCCCTAAGCTGTGATATGAATAGTCTGCGTCTGAATGCTTGTTTTTAACATTAATTATTTAAAAGGGTAAAATATTGTTTTTTTTTAATGGGAGCTATTTTTTATAACAAAACCCATATACAAATCTTTCTTCACATAGGCACATATTACTTACTCGCTGAGATCGTTTAGTAATAGTCGTTTTAAAAATTAGTGCTCATTATAGCTAATGTTTGTTGATGAAGCTATAAAAAAGTATTAGTTATAATCAGGTAATTACAAACAATTTCGAATCTAGTTAAATATCAAATTCTTACCAAAAAATATGACTTTAGAGAGATGTTATCTTTTACTACATGTAAAGTAAGTTTTACTTGGGCTTAAATCCTCGGATTCGCAATATTTGCCACAAATATGTTGTTGTATATATATAATATGTTGTTGTTGTGCAGTATGTAAACATGTGAAGCTTTTGAATTGTAACCTAGAAATTCTTCATTCCCAACAAAATTCATCCATTACGTTACATGTTAATCTGAAAAAATAATATAAATAAAATCATATTTTTATGATTGAACAAACAAAATGTAAGCAGTCAGCTGATAATATATTTTCTAAGTACATATAGCTCGTTTCGGATTGCCATATCATCGAACTATCAGAGTTAGGAAACAGTTATATTTTGCACACAATCATATGAAAACGTTTACGATTTTGAGAGATTAACCATTTTGTTTATGCCAGACCTAAAACACTCAGGCCGGCGACTGAAAGCGGTGACAAAAATATAATTATATTGCCAGGCGTGACGACAGGGTAATTCCCGTTACAATGGGAGGGACCCGTTCACAGCAGTGGACCTTTACGAGTTAGTGTTAGTATGGAATATTGATTACTGTCATGTTGTCCTAGTGTTAATGAGCGCGACTTCCGATCATGGGGTCTCAGATTCGATTCCTTGATCGTCGATTAGCCAGGCGGTGTATCACCACTCCCCTGCCCCGGGAAGCACGTAAAGCCGTTGGTTCTGCACTTAAACTCTAACCCGTCGTGTCATGCACTCGTGTTTGCACATAAACTGGTGCACTATAATGGACGACACACACGTTCAGTTCAACTGATCAGTTCAAAATAAAACTGTTGATATTTTTAAAATATCAGATTTTCGATATATCGATAAATAAACTTATATATAAAACTCCGGTGTTGATATATTTATAGTTATCAATATATTGAAAAACCAATATTTTAAAAATATCAACAGTTTTAGTTTAAACTGATCAGTTGGAATGATCTGTTGAACTGACCGTGTGTGGCGACCATAATTCTGTCCAGCGCACATTGTTAGTCTCCGTTGATACTGGCCGCTGTAAGAGATGATAAATTAGAAGTTATTATGACCGAAACTCGATGTGATGTACTCAATGTATTCCTATTATACTAACTATATCCTGTCCTGCGTAAGATGGCTAGTCTAGGTTGAGACTGTGATTGTGTGACCACTGTGACTGAAATCTGAACTGGAGATCATTTCATTAAGCATTTCTTAACATACGAAATACAGGGTTGTGAAGTACGAAGAGTTGGATAAGAAGAACTACCTGACGATCAGCCCTTGCGGCGTGACGCACTACACCAGCGAAATGGTGTTCACGACGCTGGCGGACTGGGAGCAGGAGTACACCATCTTCGTGAAGCTTACTGATGTGAGATACATTGTTAAAGTTATAAATAGTTTTTTTTTTCTAAATCGTATTTTCTATTAAGATAGTTAATATATTTTTATATTTATGTAAAATAATTTCTTGACTCATGTACGTTGCACCTTAAAATGCTGCCGCTGATGATATAAATAAAATATACTGCTTGATAGAGAAGGGAAAATATATTTAAACAAACTGCTAATAGCTAATGATGAGTACACGAACGCGCTGTGTGGCGATGCTATGTGAACTGATTCGATGAACAATAAAAATAAGTGTATCAGGCGAAAATGCTGATCGGGCGATACATCCTACAACTCATAACAGAAAAAGTAACAGCTATTAATTAACTCTGTATGTTACATATTATGTAAGTAATAAAATCATCATCATCATCATTACAGCCCTTCACAAGTCCACTGCTGAACATGGGTCTAAATATCTTACGCTCAGTAATAAAATAAGCCTAATAAAAGTTTTCTCAAATGGATAATCGATTTAGATAAATACATGCAATAGTTATACGTATTAATAAAGAACACAATTTGTTCGTTGATGTCAAATAGTTTTAAGATCAGATGGATAGTGTGCTCGTTTGTTATAGTATTCTATAAAAAAATGTTATTCTCACATTTTCTTAGAAACGCGTCTTTATTCTTGTTGGACAGATCAAGTTCTTCAAGGTGTACAGGTACTGGAAGGCGCTGTACGTATGGCGAAAGTCGCTGGTGTTCCGCAAGTACAGCCGCCTGCGCAGTAGGCTGGCCAAGCGGCTGTTCGTGCTAACGCCTCCGCTGGGTCGCGCGTTACTCACACTGCAGGCCATGTGCTGCCAGATGCTAACCCTCTCGTTCGCGGACCTCTCCCGCGACATGGATACTCCCTTTTTCTACTTTATAGAAGCCCAGGTATGACTAATGAGATCGTAGATCATAGATAGTTGTTCTTACTATATTGTGGCAGTCTTAGAACATCCACTATCTCGTATCATCCCGTGGGTGTCATAAGAGGCGGCAGATGGAAACAAATCAGAAGATGGGCAGCTGTGTCCACCTAATAACGGCTAATGAAAAAAACAGATTGTCAACCCGCTTGCCAAGCGTGACAACTATGGCAAATATCCCCCCTATAAAGCAATCTATGGGGGAGGCCTATGTTCAGCAGTGGACTTTAATAGGCTGTAACGGTAAGCTGAGTAAGGTCCGTTTGTCTAACGCGCCACAACAAAATTAAACAAGACCACGAAACGGTGCCGGGCTTGGGCGTCTCTCATTGATTGACGCCCATGAAATGGATGATGGCATAAATGATGATGATGATGATGATGCAGGAACGCGCATAGGGCCGCTATCTGGAGGTTGCCAGGTCACGTCAGGAGCTGGTGCTGGAAACGACAGCATGCAAGCCGCCAGCCGAGCGCAAGGGGCTGCATGCTTTTTTGCTGGGCTGGAGCCATCTATTATCGTCACCGAGTAAAACCTGCCAGACCGAGTTTGGTACATCATGCGTTCAAAAATAATTGATGACGCCGAACTCGAATGGCTACAAAGTGAGGCTGTTCCCTCGTCGAACGAAAATACTACAACAGAAGTTGCGGCTCTACGAGTTGCAGAGAAACCTGCACATATAGATGCCACCGTAGATCTCCTTGTGGTTGACTCAGACATCGATGGAATAGTTGCCTAGGAACAAGAGCAAATGAGGAGCATATTGGAAGAGGCGGTTAGGGAAACGCACAGTACGCCTCTCAAAAATCGACCTAGACTTTACTTCGCGGGAAGGGCTCAATTATTTTTGGCACCGCACTGGCAGTATGCCGCATTATTGGCGCCAAGCTCCCCACGGCTGGAGTACACAGTACACAGTGACAAAGTAGCGCCATCCCAACCTGGAAAAAAGAATTCAAGACCGTATTGCAAACGCAAGAGCCCTCATCGGCAGACTGACAACTGATGGCGTTTGCTGAGATAAGTGTTAGTTTGTCCCAACAGGATATTACGCAAAAAGTGTGTGTGTGTGTGTGTGTGTGTGTGTGTGTGTGTGTGTGTGTGTGTGTGTGTGTGTGCGTGTGTGTGTGTGTGTGTGTGTGTGTGTGTGTGTGTGTGTAGGTGTGTGTGTGTAGGTGTGTGTGTGTGTGTGTGCGTGCGTGTGTGTGTGTGTGTGTGTGTGTGTATGTGTGTGTGTGTGTGTAGGTGTGTGTGTGTGTGTGTGTGTGTGTGTGTGTGTGTGTGTGTGTGTGTAGGTGTGTGTGTGTGTGGTGTGTGTGTGTGTGTGTGTGTGTGTGTGTGTGTGTGTGTGTGTGTGTGTGTGTGTGTGTGTGTGTGTGTGTGTGTGTGTGTGTGTGTGTGTGTGTGTGTGTGTGTGTGTGTGTGTGTGTGTGTGTGTGTGTGTGTGTGTGTGTGTGTAGGTGTCTGTAGGTGTGTGTGTGTGTGTAGGTGTGTGTGTGTGTGTGTGTGTGTGTGTGTGTGTGTGTGTGTGTGTGTGTGTGTGTGTGTGTGTGTGTGTGTTTGTGTGTGTGTGTTTGTGTGTGTAGGTGTGTGTGTGTGTGTGTGTGTGTGTGTGTGTGTGTGTGTGTGTGTGTGTGTATGTTTGTGTGTGTGGTGTGTGTGTGTGTGTGTGTGTGTGTGTGTGTGTGTGTGTGTGTGTGTGTGTGTGTGTGTGTGTGTGTGTGTGTGGGTACGTGCGTGTGCGTGATATAATAATAAAATGTGTGTCGCAACTTCAACCTATCTTAAAATTAATAAACAATGCCATCTGCCAAAACTTTTGAGACAGCTTTTTGAATTTTGGCTTGGACAAACAAAAAGGGTTAATGCTAGAAAAGTATTTATTATATGTTCTTAGTACTCTATTTGTAACAGAGTTTTTGCATAGTTTGTGTAAGCTGGTGGTACATAAAATAATTCCATAACTCTAGTGCGTTTCTTGGGGGTACGAAAACTCATAATCTGTTTAGTCAATTTTGGACAGTCTAGGGCGCCAGTACAAACCTCGTATAGCAGCATCATGTCAGTTACACATCTACGATTTTGTAATGTTAATAAGTTGTACGATCTTGTAATATTAATATATGCTGATAATTCTTCGTGATAGTTCGGAGCTGTTCTATATATACTGTTTATGATTTGGAACTTTGATAGCGCGATTTAGGCTTCGGTGTGTTTCGCTTGTGGCGCGACAACAGCGCCGTCACATTACCCCGTGCTCTGGCCGGAGGAGATCGACAGTGCAGTCCGATTGCCGGTGCGTCCTTAATGCCGGTGGGGAATGCATGCTGTGTGCGTAAGGACAAGTGACACCGGTGCGAATGATATGCCGATGTGTAATGCATGCCGTACTACGCACTGGCAAGTGATGCCGGTGAGAAAGATGTGCCGGAGCAAGTGCCAGAAGTCTGCCTTATAAATCTGCGGTGAGTCGAGATGGAGACAAGTTGGACTGGTTTGCAGGAACTGAAGACTGCAGAAGGCGATTCTCAGTAGTGAATGGTAACGGTTCTGAGGATAACACGAAGGCTTGAAGTTGCAGTTTCCGGAGGTTGTAGGTTGTGTGTTCAGATCATGTCGGTTAGTCAACACTGTGGCTGCAGAAAAGGGGAGATCTCCCGCCGGGCAAAGTGTTCTGCCCGGGGAGCAGTCAACGCTCCGTGTCGTAGTGCACGGTACGAGAAGTATTAATTTTTTTTCCTTTTGTCTCTTTTTTACATTTTCATGTTGCTGAGTATTGCCAATTTTATTTGTTTATTCAATTTAACTCTGTTTATGTATATAACATACCAATTTAATATTACTATGTGGATAACGTTGCTATTTACATAATAACTCATGTGGCCGAGATAACCCTACGCTGTATTCAATCTCATTCCTTCACAGGCTACATGCCATAGATTATATTGTTTGTCTTCTTTCTTTCATCAAGTTTTAAACCACAACGATTCTCAAGAAGTTTTCACTTCAAAAACGTTAGATGCAACGGCTGGAGCAGTGCGTGGTGAGGCTGCGCGAATTCCGCGCGCTGTCGCTGGAGGCCATCACGGTGGCGGCGCACGCGGCGCTGCTGCGGCGCGGTTTCGTCTACGACGACCGCAACGTGCCACCACCGCAGATGCTGCGCGGACGCATCGTGGGCGGCATGACCTACACGCAGAAGGCCGACAAGAGGAAGTACTGCGAGCGCCTGGCTTGGTAACCACCACTTACCATCAGGTGAAATGTGTGCTCGTTTGTCACCCTTATCCTATAAAAAAATGTTAACAGTAACTTCGTTAACTGACTGCGATCTGTCGAGAATATAAATCTTTAGTTTTGTAATCCGCGAACGTATTTTCGGCAATTTAAGACTGATTTTGTGGCAAAGATGTCATTATATTACGTGGACAATTTGTCAACATGATTTAATTGAATAAAACTACATTCACAGATTTTATCGCGTTTAATTAACTACTTTAACTTATTTTTAAATTCCCGACGTTTCGGGTGCTTTACAGCACCCATGACCACTAAGATGTTTGACGTCCCAATGTCATAAATAGCCCGGCTACCTTCAGTTTTTTAATATTAATTTTCGGTCCAATCTACGCAGAATGAGCTTACAATATCTTGAAGTCCTGCAGTGGTATGCTTGGGTTTGGGTTTAATTTTGTTAATTATACGATCCCAAGCAGATGTTAGCACCCATTCATCTTCTCTAAAGAAATTAGGATGTTTTTTAATTTCAATAGCCTCGCATATCATCCTTGGTAGGAATCGGAGTTCTTTTGCGAGGATTTGTAGTTTATCAAATCTGATGTAATGGTGGGGACGATTTTGAATATGTTCACAGACAGCAGACTTCCCGGAGCCGTCGTTGCTTCACGTCAGCTATAATATAGCTATTATGTTCTTTCACGCGGATTTTAATGGATATTTTTGTTTGACCTATGTAAGAGAGATCACATTCACAATCTAACTTGTACACTCTTGCATCTTGTATAGGGATATTACACTTGACGGACGGTAAAAATTGACTAATCTGCTTCGACGGCTTTTAATCAAAGCTAGTAAATATAGTTTTATTCAATATGTAGTGTTCGTGTCAATTTAAAAAATCATTATATAGCGTGATTTGAAGTTTATTTCAAATAAGTATGTAACTTTATTTCGTATTTAACAGCAAATGTTGTGCATGAAAATACAATATTTACAGTGTCAGCTAGCAGCCCGCGCCCGCGCTATCCTCAGATGTGACAACAGTTTTTGTTCTGAATTGCCGATCTTGTTGTTTACTTATAAAAATCTTTAACTCTTTCGAAAGTCTTCCACTCCACCCTGAGCCGGCGGGTGGATATAAGTAGGTCGATACAATTGCAGTAGTGTATTTTAATAGAATAAGGGTGACAAAAGAGCGCACAGCCCACTTGATGATAAATGGATGATGTGGCCATAGACATAGAAATTCAACTTCGACCAAGCGGTGAATCGATTATACAGCGTTCGGTAAATTACGACACATCTTCTCTTAACGTGAATTTCAAAATTTAAAAACGAGTGTATACAAACAGTGCGTGTTACCAGTAATAACATATGAATCTGATTCATGGTTGTTCATTGCTGGCCGTAAGAGGAAGCTCACGGTCGCTCAGCGAGTTAAGGAGTTAAGTCTATGCTCGGAGTTTATCTGCGTGTACATAGCGAGGATATCTGCAGTAGATCCGGAGTAACCAACATAACTCAACAGATCAACAAATTACTGAAGCAATGGGTCAGCCCATATAGCTCGAACAACTGTCAACCGATGTAAAAAACCAATGTACAAAAGATAATTTTTTTGCAGGTAGGAAAAGGTGCAGGAATTATATGGATGCAGGTGACTTGGCATCATGCTTTGTGGCATTCCTTGGGTGAGACCTATGTGCAGCAGTGGACTTGTGATGATGATGATGATGATGATGATGATTATGAAACTTTAATTGCGAAAACGCTCTGTGATGTAACTGTACTCTTTTGTGGCTGAAGATATTTTTAATGATATTTGAACTACAAACAAGCGTACAACAAGCGTCAAACAACAAACCGTGCTTACATAGCGATGCTACGTGGATATTTGCCTTAAATATGCAATGCCAGCCATGCAAACATGGTAGAATTTACCGTAACGTACCCTTAAGTAACGCTTTCGTTTTGGTAATATCTGATGTAGGTTAGGATTTAGTATGTGCACGTGAACAGTTATAATCAATACAATAAAAGTTTAAAAAAGTTTTGAAAAACCAATAACGTTTTTTGTCATATGGCTCCGACTGGGTTTATAAAACCCCAGGAGCTGAGGTGTAGCTGTCGGGTACTTTGACAACTAGGTTAGTACGAGAACCTAATAATCTTCTGTTATTAAAAAGTTACCAAACTAGCAATGCTGCACTCATAAATGTACCACATAAATTGGTCGGCTTGACCGGGGAAGTACTATGATCTTTCAGAATACGGGCGTGAAATAGCAGTATAATGCTACTCTGTTTCATATGGTGAAGAGAACCGCGGATCCTTTAAATATCAATAAGTATTCGTTTTAATTCTCATAGATGGATGTAAGTGAGTAGATGCTTTTGCCCCGATGTCACCACACCGGGCTGCCATCCTCGAAACACAGCACAGCACAGCAGCATTAGGCTGCTATTTTACGCTCGTTTTCGATGAGAATGTGCTTCTACCTCGGTCGAGCTGAACCATTCCTGCTACAACCGAAACATAGCTGAAGGCACCCCGTATATAATATACCATCAATATAACACCAGGTGGACCGTGTGCTTGTTTGTACCCCAACTTGATTTTAAAAATGCAGCTTCATCAAGCTGTCCGACTACATGACGAACTACATGCTGCACGGGCTGACCCAGCGCTCGAACGCGATGATGGCGGACCTGCTGCGGACCCACGCTGCTTTCACCCCTAGCGCCGAGCTTCTAGCTGGCACAACCTTCGACGAGGTTCTCGAAGTGTTACCCAGACCCACCGACTCCTGCAAGGTGCACCACCAATCTTGAGCTCAGCTTTCGTAAGATTGTAGTTACTCAGAAATAAAAGGAAAATTAGTGTGGAGGCAGTTTGATTTGTTGTGTATTCGCTGATGTCGCTATTGATTCATAGACAAAAGGGGTGCCATAAATCCCATTTGTACTTTAGGGTGAACTGGTACACACATTTAAAAAATTAAAAGTCTTTAACGGCAGTAAGCACATCTATAAGGTCAACTTTATACTAGGTCAACCTAGTTACCTAGGTATTTGGGAACTTTATAATTTTTTTAATGTAAAACTGGTAACAGTATAACAAAAGTTTATTTTGTATGGCGCTTAAAATGTTCTATAAAAATGGAATAAAAAATAATACTAATTCTCATTAAACTTCTTAGTATTTTTTACAACGTGCCTTAACATGACGTTTTTTTACCAATAATTTTAAACTTAAAATTATTTAAAGTATATTTTTATTTATTTATTAAAAATTAATAAAAAATATATATTTTAAGTGAGATAATTTTGTTTTAGAAACTTTGTAAATATATGATTTATATGTTAATCATATAAATATAACATTTTGTATGCGCAAAGGGCATAGTTGATGCTATACAAAAGTTAACGTTAACCACATTGAGAATAATTTATCCATGAAATAAATTATTCCGATTGTGATTCCGATCTAGCTTGCGAGAATTTTAATAACAATAGTCAATAATGGCAATATTAACCGACATACTTTCAATATTCAAATGTTTATGCTTTCTCAATATTTCTATTATTTATTTTAATATCGTGCCCACATTATGCTTGCTTTTATATTTCGATTTGTAAATGTCACTGATTGCAAATTGCCAGGACCGTTTGATGATTGTGTCATGAGGAGAGATTTAAGCATTTTTTTTAAATTTATTAAGATAATTCTGAATACGCAATAAAATGTGCGGACTTGAGTCCTAGGGGCATTATTTAAGTTAGGGTGTGTACAAAGAACGTAATATTAATTAAATAGGTTTTAAATTCTCTATACCTATGGAAAAAAAACCGTTGAAAGTGCAATAAACCGGCTATTAAACCATTTTTCTTTTTCAGTGGGCGTTGTTTCAAGTGGACGCTTACGTTTTACCGAACGGAGAGGTGGAACTCAACCCCAGCGAAAAGGTGATATCGGGATACATCGAGAAGATCACCAGTTACTGGGACGAGCACGTGCGCACCTTCCACAACTTCCTCAACGACGAGTCGCTGCAGATCTTTGTCCAGCCCACCATAATGGGCAAGCAAGTGGAGTGGTCCGCTGGCACGTCACCCAACTTGTACTTCCTCATGAACCAGGATAAAAAGATGCTGGAAGACATAACCTACATACCGAACGCTATCAAACAAGCTTTTGAATGTACGGCTTTATTTCTCCAGAGGATGGATTCCTTCATGATGGACTTCAAAGAGGCTAACGAGATGGATGTGGAACAGATTAAAAACGAGAGAGATGTGGTCGCTTTTAAAATGCTCTGCGATAAGTTGGTGAAGCAGATGGACTCGATCGAGGACGTAGTAAGCTACCAGCCTCTCGGGATCGTCTTTCTCAACCTCAGCCCGTTTCAGGAGCTGTACCGGCCGCAGCCGAGGCGGCTATTCGACGTAGTACAAAATACCACTCCGGAGTAAGTGATATTTGTTTTTTAAGCATTATTTGGAAAACGTTAATATTTATAATTATGTTCTGAACGACAGGGTGAGAAATTCTGTGATAAAAAGTGTGGTTTGCAAACTAATGTTGTGATCAGAATTAAGAACTACATTCTTCGGTGGTTTTGTCAAGTAGAAAAATAATGAATGAGGTAGTAGTGACAAAGTGAACTTATGTTGCAAATATGAACGTCAGAGTCTTTAAGGGGCGTCATAGACGGTGGTTTATCTGTTTATCAATATATAGCCAATTTCGTTAACCAAATTGGCTATATATTGAAGATGGGCAAATTAAGAGTACCGAGAAGCATGTATGCTAGGTTTATGAATGTAAAAGAGGCGAAGGTGTGTCAAGATCGTGCCAAATCGAAGTCTGTAGCTTCTGTGTTCTTCTATAGGTTGGCGTGAGTGTTTTTATATTTATATGTATGTAAATATTTAATCTCTGCATAGCCACAGTGGCGTACACTCATCCTAACCTTAGCTAGGATGCAATTTCTGAGACATGGAACAATTACAACGCAACCCAATCCGAAATTCATATTTTTGCAAGAATTTGACTAACGTTACGAGACTATACCCAGGGAGTATTGTATGCGAGGGTATTGAGGGGAAACAAGTGTACCCTCTCTGCTCTTAGTAAAGCAAAGTGACTGAAGGTCAACGTTTCGACATTCCGAACCGAGAATCCAGGACCCCTCACATACGCTGATGGGGACCATCATTAGTAGTAGTACAGTATCACAGTTTCGTTGCCTGCGTAGTGTAAAGTATCCATAAGGATCTCCGAAAGATACAAAAGTAAAACATATATGCAATTCACATGCGGTAGAATCGAAACAATCCAGTAAAGAAGACAGATAATAGGAATCCCTGTGTATTGTATTCTATCTCATTCTGTCGCAGGTTAAATCCTATTAGATGCATATGTTTGTCTCGTTTTAGTGTCGTATTTTCGTTTCGTCAAGTTTAAAATCATGATTCTAAAGAAGTTTAACTTCAAAACCCGTCACGCAGGTAGAATAGCTCCGATAAGTCGCACGGTCTTCAATGTTACATTAATTGAACAGCATAGGTCGGTTGTGCATCGACGAGATTCTAGAAGGCATCGAGAGCATATCTTCGGATGTCGGTCGCGAGCCTGAGTCTGCAGGCGAGCTGGTGGCCTACAACAGTTTGCTGGATGGCTTGGAGGGCCGTGTGGCCGCGCTGGAGGAGCGCCTGGAGTACCTGCGGGAACTCTACGACCTCATGGCAGAGTTCAATATTCCCGTGCCGCCTGACGACATGACAGAATACTTAGGTAATCATGTGGAGGCGGTGTAAGAACTTCCAGTACCTCATATTGTCCATTGGTTGTGGTAAGAGGCGAGAGAAGGAAATATACCATAAACTTGATAGCAGCATATTAATAACAACTCGAAATACTAATCTGGTGTTGTCAACCCGTCTGCGAAGCGTGGCAGTTATGGCAAAATCCTGTAAGGCAATCTATGAAGGAAGCCTATGTTCAGCAGTGTTTTTCAATGTAATGGATGGATGTAAGGATGTTTTAAGTAAATATTATATATAGGCGTAACGTAATATAGGCCAATGTTCTTAATTTATAACTCCTTGATGCTTGATATAAAGATATTTTAGGTAAGCGACTATCTTAAAGCCTATCTTAAGTTTTTAGTTCGGTACACTTGTGAACTTTGGTTATTTTAATATTGAGAAGTGATCTGGTGTTATTATACGGTTTTCTCACATAATTGCGACAAAATTTAACAGCATTAACCGGCATAGTCAATTATTTTTCGTGAGCACGTTATCCCTAAGTGATTCAATCTACACTGACGTAAGTGAGAAGCGAGTCTACCAATTATAGTAGACTTTATTTCGGCCGTTCGGTACAGACAATGTGGTATCTAGACAAGTATATAATCAAAGGATTCATCCCGCAACAGATACCACAGCAGACTGATTGAACAAATTGAAAAGGATAGCGCTATTAGTACCGCGTGCAAAACAAGAGATAGAAAGAGTGTGCTTAGAATAAAATAACGCAAGCGCCAAATCACATAATTGCGAATTACGAGGAAATCACGTAGAAAAATACGATTTGAGATATTATTATTATCTATCTATTACATTAAAAACATAATTCAATTACATTGGGTTTCATAGATCTAACTCAAAATAAGTGCAAAACGAGGTTTTTCATATTTTTTTTCAATCGAGAATTTATTATTGAATCGTGTTTTCGCTTCAACATATTTTTAGATTATTAGTCCAAATTTAATGTGTCCAAATAGCAAACTTTTAGATCTTATAGATACCAAGATCCAGATCGCTCAATATCACCAAAACAGCACCATATGGACTCTTAAACTGGCAAAACAACTGACTTTCCTTTCTAATAACTAATTTATTAGCTGAGTTCTTGTCTGGAATTATACTGTTAGTCGTGGTAGTGCTGTTTTATTATCGAAGTTTGTGATCTATTTAAAAAATTAATACTTTTTTGTGTTGATTATTTCGGTGGATATAAAGATAAATAACGTAAGCTTTTGACTGAAAAATAGAACGTATTTCACCAAATTCTGATAAAATTTGTATTTGTTGAGTAAATTAACGATTAGAATGGTGTTTATAATTTCACTGAAATATCAAGTAAACGGTCATACTTAGATTGAGCACCGCTTTAAATATCTGTTGAACACATCGGCACCGTTTGTCACAATGTCTTTGTGACTATACCTGATATAACTTTGTTGCTGGCTTTGGTAGAGTTGCCTCCCTACGCATTCAATTTCAAATATTATGGAACTTATATCTTAATGATATTGTGACAAGTAGTTGTAAGCGATGCTTGGTTGCATAATATTATTTTATTCGTTGGTATATTGTTTCTATATTATTATTATCGATTTGTAGAGATATGGTGTGGGCTCGTATGGGGTTTAAAATTGGATGACGGACGGTCAGTGGGTTCATATTTAAGTTATTTACTTAACAAGTAACTGTTGTGAATTAAAATACAACTGTGTGGCATATTCACCGTGTTAACTAAATACTCGCCCGCACTCACACTGGAGTGCTCGTGCTTTCCACAGCTGTAACACACTTTTTGTTCAGAATTACCGGTCTTATAACGTATGACGTCTTTGGCTTCATGTGTAGAAAAAAGTGGTGGTGGTAGTATGTAAAAAATGAGTGCGGTCGTGCTGTGATGTTAGGGCTGAGCGTGTTTCTGGGTAGTAGTGGTGTGTACAATATGTGTGTGTGTGTGTGTGGCCAGGGTTAAGCGTGTCGCTGGGCGCGCTGCGCACGGGCGTGGACGCGCGGCTGGAGACGCGTGGCAAGCTAGCCACACAGTTCGCCGCGTACGTGCAGCACGATCTCACGCAACTCATGCACCGGGTCAACGAACTGCGCGACCTCATCGCGGTGAGTGCTCACACACAACACACGACATAACAAACGCGCACCAAGTTAACGAGCTAGTGCTCACTGCACGAATGTACGACCCAGACATACTACTAGTGATGCAACCGAATTCTGTTTCTGTTTCCGCAACTGCGAATGTTCTGCATGGTTTTTAACATCCGTTTCTGCTTCCGTTTCCGCAAGTTTTATAACGGAAGTTCAAACGGAACTCAGCGACGTAGTCACATACATAAGTAGACGAGGGGCAATTCAGCCAACCACAAGCGAGCTGGGCACGTGCTTTCGGCACTTGTCCCAACGGGTTTATTTACAAACTTTTCTAATTTTTTATACGGCGTGACATAAGTGTAAGTGCTTAAGATTTTCTGTTATTGCTTTTTAGTTAATTAGTAATTTGATTTGTGTGTTTAATTTAAATGCAATCATGATGGCAAAAACAATCCCTGTTTGGAGCTATTATGTTGAGATTGATGATTTAGCAGCCAGATGTAAATTATGTGACAACAAAATATACTCGCGAAAAGAACGCACAACTACTGCTTTAAAGAAGCGATACACGCCGAAGTGTTTGTAGAGTTTGTTACAAGTAAGTTGAAACTGTTAAACTTTTATTGCATACTAAAAAACAAATGGCCAGTCAAGGAATTGGATACCTATTTATTTATAAAATGTATTCCTATATTATAGTTAAACCAGATTTTAGTTAAAACATGTTTTCTCCATTTGAAACTAGTTTTTACTAAATGCCCTTGTTACAACTTAGATTTGTAAAATTAATTAGGCAACAGTTATGTTTACGTAAAGTTCATATAAATTATTTTTTACATAATGTTTATATTAATTATTTTTCACGTAAAGTTTATATTATTTACTTTTTACTTATAGTTTATATTAATTATTTTTAGAAACAGTAATGAGTATTTTGGATTCAAAGTTCGTTTACGTCGTACTTTCTTCGTGTGAACGCTGTGCTAAATTACCTACTCGCTAAATTAAAACCTAAAACCTCTTTTTTTTTTTTTTTATAGGATAGGTGACAAACAGTACACATCCACCTGATGGTAAGTGGTTGCTTAATTATTTTGTAATCGTAGATTAAAAGGGTCTCTTTAACGAAAACAGAGCATTAAGTACTTTCACGCTGGTATTTATGAGTTCCTTCCGGTTCTATTTTAATTTACGTATTTCTCTTAAAGGGTCTGATCATATTTCAGTGCCAGTTTAGCTTTGGTGTATAAGCAGCATCGCCAGCGAGCAATTATTTAGCGGAGCTGGACTTATATATGAAGAACACTGGTACAGATTGTTAAGTGTAAAAGCGGCCGAACAACTTTTTATAAAATATAACTTAACCACTAATTAATTTTGAATGTTAATTAAAAGTTTTATTTGTAATTTTTTTCATAAGTGGTATTTCCGTTTCCACATCCGTTTCTGTTTCCGTTTTTGCTTTCCGTTTCGTTATCAAAAAATATTTTTAACATCTGTTTCCGTTTCTGCTTCCGATAAGACACTTCCGTTACATCACTACATACTACACCCATTACATTATACATTACGCGGGGCACACTCACATCTCACACATGTAGGAACGTATACACGTTACCACACACATCAACGATAATAATTGTGATGATGATGACAACCTTATGAAGACAACGAGCTGCGCGACCACGCCGATATAACATTATACACGCAGAACACGAACACACTCCATGTACGAACTTACACACGCACACAAAATATCATAAGGATGTGGTTATACAAAAACGATCCATCACACAAAAAGCAACTTTTGAAATATTAGCTTCAGAAATTTGGATCGACAATCAGTGTTATTTTCATGGGAAAATACGTTATACTTCCGTAGGATATAGCCCTTCGACCTTCAAAATCATATATATATATATATATATATATATATATATATATATATATATATATATAATTTTATGTATATATACTTACATTATGTTTATATATGTATATATTTATACGCTTATATATGTATGAGTTTATATATATTGTACATACTTCTTATTACACCTACCTCTTTTATCTCTGCACTACTCTAAGGTAGACTGGTAGATAATGCCTCAGGCTTCATATCACATCTGTGTATATGAAGTTAAATAAATAAATAAAAAAATATCATCAATGTTAAAGTTGCACATTTAGGATTTAGTTAAAGAATACAAAAATCGCTTTGAAAATTTTTTCGTAGATAAGATGGCTAAGTCTTCAAATTGTCGCATCATACATATTAATCTAATATTAAAAACTTAATCGGCACAATTCGTGATCAACATGTTACGGTAAAAAATTATGGCGGCTACTTGCAAATCTCGTGTTTACAAATAATCTAATATCAAAAGCTTAGTCAGGACAATTTGGGATCAACAGGTTCTTATGATGTTAAGGCTACTTCCGAACTGTATAAGTTATTGTGCATATTATATTTATAATTTTTCCAATATTGTTTTATTGTTATTAATTTATGATACTCTTAATATAAAATGATTTAATTTTCTCTTCAGTAAATTTTGAAATATTCAATAGGAACCTACCTGTGCTTGCGCATACACTCGGGCACTATAATCCTGTCCTGCACCGATGGCTAGCCTCCGTTGAGGCAGGCTGCCGTGGCCGAAATTCGGTCTGGAGGACATTATTACAAATAATAGTAACGTGTTGAAAGAATTTTAAAATAAATCAAATTTAATTGTAATTTTGAAAACTTAAAATGTTATCATTACAAACAAGATTGTATTCTTGTTTGGAAAATGATAAAATACCTGTGCCTAGGTACCAAGCCGTTTAAAACGTGTAGTTACTATATGATAAATAATTTTTTATGGCTTTATTTTTTATGATCTAGCAACCGTGGTTATACGACGAAACATCGGACGTGGTTAAGGTCCAGGAGACTCTAGACGATCTGATGGAAAAGCTGAAGGAATGCTCCGCCACGGACAAGCAGATACGTGAATGGCAAAAGATATTCAAAGTAAGATCTATTGTGCTTCGTCGTTTAAAAATTATTAAGTGAATGGAGACTTTACGCCAAGAATGTACGGTACATTTTTCTGTGCTGACAGTTTGCTCGCAACATCCCTTTTCATTATTATATTTTCTATAGAAATAGTGTGACAAATGAGCGCACGGTCTATCTTATGGTAAGTAGATGCTGTAGCCCATAATTAGGAATAAAATGCAGATGCGTTGTCACCCCTAAGGACTAAGATGGAATGCTTCGCTTCCACTAAAAAGGATATAAGCGGTTCTCCGGTTCTCTTATCATAAGAAACATACAAGCGTTAAGCTGCTATTTTACGCTGGTAAAATAGAGCCGTGGTAGCTCAGTGGTTAACGCTCGCTGTAAATATAACAGAACGCGAGTAACCCGGGTTCGATCCCCGCCGGCACCAATGAAATTGTTAATTGCAATTTTAAGTGCTGATTTACCACGTGCTCGGCGGTGACTGAAAACATCGTGAGGAAACCTGCATGTCTGAGGAATAAGAAAAAAAATATTTCGAAAACATGTGAAGTTCATCAACACGCATTTGGGCAGCGCGGCGGACACTTCCTTGCCCTAAACCCTCTCAGAAATGAGGGGAGGCCTGAGCCCAGCAGTGGGACGTATATAGGCTGTAACTTTACTTTTTACTTTTACGCTGGTAGTATGTGAGAGCGTAGTCCTACCCCGTTCGAGAAGAAACATTTGCGCTCCAGTCATAATGTATCTGCAACGTAGTTCTACCACGCCAACATCCCAGGTCGATCCCTGCCGTCAATAAAGAAATCGTTCATTGTAATTTCATGTCTTAAAGATGTTAAAATATTTATCAGTGAAGATTCGCGTAAAAAATGAAATGACGTGTCTTACTTAGTTTTAAGAGCACCCGCTCACACTCCCCTCCCTCAATTGCATGCACAAAGTACAAGTATTTTAAGTAGCGGTCAGCCACCGCAGAGATGCTTCATGTAGAGTCGAAACACGTATCTTATTATCGACGGTGGGGGGTTTTTTCTAGTGTAGTGGTGTTGGGAGTAGTGGTGCAAGGATTGATGGTGACGGGGATAGTATACGTATTACTAAGTCCAGCAATTGAGGGAGGGCGGGAGGTGCTCTTCAAACTAGGTAAGATACATTCTCTTATTTTGTCACGCGGATCGTAGCTGATTAACTTTTTACCATCTTTAATTTTATTACATGCTATAATTTCTCCCTCTCCCGTCCTCCATCGGATCCCTTTGCTGTCGATGTCCCACGCAGTCGAACCAAATGGTTTGCTTACTTCTTCGTAATACGTGCTGCAGATGAGTGGAATAATTTGCCGGCGTCTGTTTTTCTGTCATAATACAATCTGGGCGTCTACAAAGTGAGAACGGATAGGCTTTCATTACGGTAAGACAGCGCGATTTAACAACTGGGGCTTCATCGCCATTCGCCACCTCGAGTAACAGCCCACAATGCCACTGATAGGCCAACTTAGACACATCAAGATAACCTACTTTTTTTCGTAGTCTTAACCGACTACGAAAAATTTTTTCTCTAGCAACTACGGAGTAAAAGCCGAATAAACTAACAACGCCTGAAAGGCCTACCAGGACCGGTCCTTGGTGATGGACCGCGAGGACAATCCGGGTAATGGGGGCATACCCCGAGGCCCGAGACCTGCAGGACCCAAGTAGTCCGTGCAGACGACAATACGAAGCTACGAAGCCATTCGCCACCGGGTGGGATTGTGGTCAAGCACTGAGTTATAATAGTTGACTGCCTCGTTGGTCTAGTGGTTGTAGTAGTGCGACTGCTGATCATGAGGTCCTGGGTTCGAATCCCGGGTCGGGCCAAAAAAATCAATAATTGAGTTTTTTTGTCAAGAAATTCTCAGTAGCTGCCCGGAGTCAGGAAGTTAGCGATATCTCACCCCCATGCCTCGGAAAGCACGTAAAGCCGTCTGTCCTGCGCCTGATCTCTCTCCGGTCGTGTTGGTTTACCGTCCCATCGGATTATGAGAGTGAGGGAATAGAGTGTGCCTGTGCTTGCGCATGCACTTGGGCACTATACTCCTGTCCTGCGCCGATGGCTAGTCTCCGTTGAGGCAGGCCACCGTGACCGAAATTCGGTCTGGAGGACATTATAATAATTAAAAGAAAAACCTGTGCCCAGCAGTGGGACGTAAACTGCTGTAACTTAAGATTGAATTTGCTTCGGCATTCGCAGATACCGCCGTCGCGTCTCGACCAGTTAGACGATGCTATTAATGACGTTAAGCTGAGGCAAATGCTTTGGAAGTCTTCTAAAGAGTGGAATGAGCTCTACCAGAGTTGGTAAGTTTCGGTTTGAATAGCTCAGATTATGTTTTGGAAATATTTAAATAATTAGAATTAAGAATGATTTCCAAACAGTTTTAATAATTGCATGTTGCTCATATTAGAATTAAGTACCCGGTTGACCGAGCTTTGCTCGGTTTTTTTTAATTCGTGTGTTTTGGAAATTATATTTAGATACAAATTACACACTGATGAAATACGAATAATATTTTTTGATCTTCGCGACATAATAGAAAAAACTGAACTGGTTATTTAAATAAAAAATCGTAAGTGCAATTAGTTTAATTTAAATTATCGTGTTTTTAAAAAATACTAAAAAAAAGGCCTCGAAAAAATAGATTTTCTCAAAAAAGAAAGGAACTTGAAAAAAAAATTAAAAAAAGTCGGTCGGTCAGGGCTCGAACCATGGTATTACGATATTGTGACCGCCCAATATACCAATTAAGCTATTTGTACTCATTAATAAACTGTCAAAATTTACCTTCTTATTCTAACGATATTGTAGCAGTTTTTCATTGCCTAAAAACACGGACAAAAAGACATTTTCTAAAAATAAATCCTAGCTAGATCGATTTATTGCACCCGAAACTCCCTGGACACTAAATTTTATGAAAATCGTTGGAGTTGGTTATTTTTTTTTCAAGAATTGCTCGTTTAAAGGTATAGGATAGACTAATATTTTGGTCACCCGCCTCTTCGTCACAGCTGAACTTAACATCTAGTCTAAACATGAAGTTGCAGTGTAAGAATATCTACATACTGCCCGAAATCGTCCCGTGGGCATTGTAAGAGGCGACAGAGGTCAGCTGGAGCAGGAGATGGGCAGTAAGATCTTGATAACAACTGACATAAATAAAAAACTGCAGTTCAGCACTAAACTTCTATAGTATGAAAGAAAAAAAAATGATCCAGCCGTCGACTTTTGATGGATTTATTTATTAAATATAATTATGTATGCATTAAACCTGCTATAATGCTCATATCTTTCGTTTTACAATAAATTCAGTGTAATTAGCAAGGCGCTACGGAAAACAGGGTTATACTTGATACCAACAGCCTTACTGTTTCAGCCATACAATAATATAATACATACATAATAGAACGGGGGAGTGGGCGGAGCCCGTGTAGCCACTAAAATGTCACTAACACGTCAATTCGAGATACGTATAAACGTCGATACGAGATGTGTTTTGACGTTACAATCGTTTCCAAATTTCCCTTGCAAATTATTTAGAAAACGCCAAAATGCACGCTATTTACAAATAAAGTATGTATTAAAATCCGTCTGTCAACACAGCAAATCGGGTTTGTAGTAGTGATAATATGACGTTATTGCTTGTATGTGTGCTCCCGGCGACGCCTATCGTCGTATAAAATAACGTTGACAGCTATTCTATTATGTATTATAGTATTCTATGGTTTCAGCGGCCAATTATCATTCATGGCGTTGCAATAAATGTCTGAATACATTCGTATACAGTTGCTATTGGTTTCATAAACAGAGTAGACAAAAAATATTTCTCCTAAAATGCGCTCAAATATCTGTAATATCAAAATATTTGCCTTTTCTTGAGTATTTTCTTTTTCTTGAGATTAGTATTACGTTAAGACTTGAATAACCAGGTTAATCTTGTGGCTGAATCAATTGCAATAAAACTGTACGATAAAATAGAAAGCATTGACTTTAGCATTTTTATATAGGCTAGGATATTTTACCCTAATCACTTGGATATACTTTAAAAAGACACGTTTTTTTTAAATATATGTTTCATTATTTGTTATTTAAACAACACCACATTCAGGCAAGAGTGATTCGCTAGTTTCAAATTAATTAAATAATAAGCACATGTATACATATCATAAATCTGTACTGCTTATTTTGCAGATTCAGTGTGGCTTGTCCGACTTACTCACATTATAATGTTGTGCGCAGGTACGAGGTTCCCTTCAATACTTTGGATCCCGAAGAGATCCAGACGGCTGCAATGAACTATGGCAAGCAGTTCAACCAACTGGACAAAGCCATCCCACCCAACAAGATCGTGCCGAAGTGCAAAGCTACCGTCAACATCATCAAGGAAAAGGTTATTGCACAATTCAATCTTTTGTTTGCATCATTTGGTACATTACTGATCTTTGTTTATGATATATTTTAGACGAATTTTTAAGCTTACCGTTAAATTTTTAATAGCGTTTAGTTTTTTATGACATAATGTAAGTGTGTAATGGACGTACACGTACACGTAGTACACGTGACGTTACATGTACGAAAAATTACTTCAGTAACTGCTGCTAACAAAGATTACGACAAGTGGAATGTTACTTTTGAGGGTTAATATGATTTGGATACAAAGCCTTTTTACTATTTAAATGGCCACACGGATGAAGGTGTTTTACTATTTAGAGTCAAAGATAAGTGAAAAGGCGGGTTTGAAAAATTTTGCTTGTTTGGAGTGCCGTAACTATTGCTGAGCAAGAAATATGTGCTCTCGCTGGAGCTTTGGTGGTATTAGTAATTCCAAAATATCGAATCTGAATTTCACAAGAAGTTTGTTGTTGTGATGGGAGTACGCAAATCCGTAATGTGTGTATTTTTTGCATTATGACACCAGTTTTTACAGCAAGCTTTTACAAAGAAACGATACGCACGTGCTGCACTCCCAGCTGGTTTGAGAGAAATGAGCTATAGATAATAACAAGAGAGTAACAATAGAATAACAAAAATATCCTCGAAGTATACGACAATTTTATAGTGCCCAAGTGTGTGCGCAAGCACTAGTGCATGTTTATTTTTTTTTCTATTTTTTCAAATTTTTTTAAAAAATGTTTCAGGAGAAAATCCCCACACTAGGATTTTCTCTCGTATCGTGGAGGCAGCTTACGTACATAAATTGCACAAGGACAAACATACAGATCCGGAACAATTATTAGTAGGTCATACAAATATTTGTTCCGTGCGGAATTCGAACCCGCGACCCCCAGCGCAGCCACTCCTTGCTAAGTCACTGCGCCACGGAGTCATCATATTGAAATTGAATCAGATGATGGGCAGTAGTATCTCCCTGATAACAATACAAAATAATAAAAACCACATTGCCGAACTGCCTGCCGAGCGTGGCAACTATGGCAAGATACCCCCTACGAGGCTGTAATGGATAGATGAATGGAATGTATGTTTGTTTGTACGTTTGCTTTTGAAACGGGATGGAACGGAAGATAGTTGTTCGCTAAGGTGTGTGTGTTGTAGATGGCGGTGATCTCGTACCTGCGCAGCCCGGCACTGAAGCCGCGGCACTGGGTGCTCGTGGAGGATGTGCTGCATACGCGCCTGGTGCCCGGCGCCGAGCTTACGCTGGCCACGCTCGACCAGCTCGGCGCCTTCCAGCACGCAGACCAGCTCATGGAGATCGCCGCGCAGGCCAGCTCCGAGGCAGGCCTCGAGGCACTGCTCAAGAAGGTACGAAACATCACTGTACGCCGTCATGCACAACATAAACTATAACTTATCTCAACATGTTATGGACTTTATCGAGTATTTTCAAGATGTCGCAGTTGAACGTTATATAATAATCTTTTCATGGACTGCCTCTTTACAGCAATATTGGGTATACTTATCATGTGTTGCGGGCGGGGTAGAAACTGCAGTTTTATATATATATATATATATATATATATATATATATATATATATATATATATATATATATATATTCTGAAATTGTATTAATAAGTTAACGTAATTTTTTTTCTATATTTTTATTTCTTTTAACCAAATTAATCACCCATGCAATTGATGCATCTTTGCGAACGCAATAGCTGTTTAATGATCACTTTCTTGAAGAAATCAGCTGTACGGGAGGTAAAAAATTCTTCAAATGCATTTTGTACTGCCTCTCGAGAAATAAATTTTTTCCCGCCAACAAGTTATCGAAATTCTGGAAAAAGTAGAGGTCTGTAGGCGCAAGATCTAGTGAGTATAGCGGAAGACGGAGAGCTTCCAACTCCAGCTCTTGTAACATAGAGACCGTCTGTTGTGCAGTATGAGACAGCGCGTTGTCGTGCAGAAACAGCGGGGATAAGCGATTTGGCCAAAGCTGGTTGGAGACGAGCTTCTCCATCATTGTGTTTAGTCCTTGACTGTACACATCCGCTCGAAGCTGTGATGAATCACACCGGCGATAAACCACACAACAGTGCACATCACTTTTCCGTTTTCGGTAAGTTTCCGTTTGGGACATTGTTTAGGTGCTGGACCAGGACCCAAACAACTTGCAGAGCGCAAACAGAATCTATTTTTCGTTGCAGGTGATAACGCAGTTCAAAATTCCTTCGTTTATGTGCCCGTGAGAGGTGCAAAGCAAATGTCGACGCATGCTTTGCGCTGACGATTATTGAGTTCGTGGGGCACTCATTTGTCAAGGTTTTTTACCTTGCCAATTTGACGCAAATGAACCAATATTGTTTTAGTATATAATGTTGAAAGCTGCTGCTAATTTAGCCGTTGTAGTATCATCAGCTTTTCCAACCGCCTTTTTCGTCATTGTCGACCAAAGTTCGGACGTCCACGGGGACGTCATTTCAAATCAATTTTTCAAGTCGAAATTTCCAGAACGGAGGCGGGAAAACAAAAATAGATTATGCTTTCGTTTGTAATGGGTTTTTCAACAAGAACTTTTTTTTTCAATTGGGGCAACACCAACAACATGACAGTTTTGACATTTAGTTTTTCATTTAGACCTATTCGTAGTAGATGCTTTGGCAATTGCTACAATGAATTCAATTTCGCTCGAAAATCGCATTAAAATAATTAAAATCCACTACGAAAATGTTGGTTCTGTTAAAGTTACGTTTCGTAAAATTCGTGATATTTTCGGACAACATAATCGTCCTTCTGAGACCGCTATTAAGAATTTGGTCGCTAAATTTGAATCGACAGGCTCGGTACAAAATGTGCCAACACCAACGCGTGTTCGACCGGGTCGTTCAACCGAAAACATCGCAGCCGTGAGCCACAGTGTTGAAGAAGATCCAAATTTGCCAATTCCTCGACGTTCTCAACAATTGGGGTTATCCAAAACCACCACATGGCGAATTTTGCGTAAGGATTTGGCTTTGAAGCCTTACAAGGTTCAACTGGTGCAGGAATTGAAGCTGACCGACCATTCACATCGCCGTAGATTCGCTCAATTCATTCAGGAAACGCCCGCGGGTTTTTGTGAAAAAATGAGTTTTTCAGACGAAACCATTTTCACCTGTCAGGGTACGTCAATAAGCAAAATTGCCGCATTTGGGCTTTTGAAAATCCTAAAGCGATTATTGAGAAGCCTTTGCATGCTCAACGTGTCACTGTATGGTGCGCTATGTGGTCTGGAGGCGTGATTGGGTCGTTTTTTTTTTCGAAGATGAGGCTGGAAATGCGGTAACGGTCAATGGATCACGCTATCGCGAGATGTTAACATCTCCATTTTGGCCTATTATTGATGACATCGATATCACAAACATGTGGTTTCAATAGGACGGTGCCACAACATGTCACACAGCCAACGAAACGATCAATTTATTGCAAACCAAATTTCCCGATCGCATAATTTCACGAAATTCAGCTGATAAATGGCCAGCCAGATCGTGTGATTTAATGCCACCGGATTATTTTTTGTGGGGCTGTGTTAAGGACAGAGTCTATACGGAGCCAATCGAATCGATCGCGGCCTTAAAACTCAAAATCCGTGACGTGATTAACGAAATAGACCCGCCATTTTGCCAAAAAGTGATAAAAAACTTTGATGAAAAAATCGACATCTGTCAGCGTAGTCGTGGTGGACATTTGCCAGATACGATTTTTCATTCATAATTGCCAAACTTTTCTCTTCATAATACAATAAAAATTTGAATCATCTTCATCTAAACTCTTTGTTTTATTTTGTGTTAGAAAACAAAGTTCTTGATGAAAATTAGTATTCGCCCCGTAAACTTCGTTAGTGTTCGTGCCGCTTGTGCTACGTTGCTTCCACGATGGTTTTCATATTCTACAATTACTCGAACATTTAATGAATACATTAAAAATTCGTAAAAATAATGACGAAAGAGATTCAAATGCTCATCGCATTCACATGCAGATACATTTAAAAGATACAAATGCAATGAGCATTTGAATGTTTTAAAAGCGATGACCATTTGAATTTGAAAACGTAGCCCTAGTCATTAAACAAATGACTAATTTTGAAAAAAGAATGGCATATTTTTAAATTAAAGTTAATTCGAAATTAGAATTCTTGGTCAAATTCATAAACGAACGGCAATTTCATAGGTAAAGATCTATAATTAAAAGACTGCTGCCTCTATCTTTGTCTTGTTTTAAACAACGTTACCTCCACCCCAGGATTTCCTCCTGTATCGTGGAGGCAGTTTATAAACAAATTTCACAAGGACAAATATTTAGACCTGGAAAAATTATTCATAGACCATATAAATACTTGCTCCGTGCAGGATTCGAACAAGCGGCGCTCAGCGCCATAACTCCAAGGCGTCAACATCATTATTTAATCTCCATTTCACCATATTGTTGAATTACCGATATATATAAGGTATTCGATGTGGAGACTTGGCGACGTGACGAATGTTGCAGGTGGAGGAGATGTGGGCGTCGCTGGAGTTCCCGGTGGTGGCGCATAAGGATGCACGCGACGTGTATGTGCTGGGCGGACTGGATGAGGTTCTGGCGGCGTTGGACGAGAGCGGGCTGCACGTGGCGACCATTCTCAGCTCACGCAACTGCGGCCCTCTGCGCAGCCGCGTTGACGAGTGGGCTCGCAACCTCGATCTCTTCACCAGGACCCTCGTCAGTTGACCTCACCACTCCATTACCGCAACACCGCAACCACACTCAACCCGTCCTTCTGACGATGAGCAAATTGCAATTGAATCAGTCTTACTGTTGCTTCACAACGACAAAGAATATCAAGATATGTATAGGCGTAAAACTAAAGACGAAATAATGATCGTTTATATTTACAAGAACATTACACATTGAATAAAACTAATTTTACGGATTGTATCATGTGTATTTTAACGTCGGTAATAATTAAAAATAAGATAAAACACACGTGATTAAATCCATAAATTCAGTTTTATTAAAGACAGAAATTCAAATAAAGAAAACCTTTTTAAGGTTACACCAGCACCACCCGTAATACGTATAAAGCGTCCATCAGCATAAATACATAAACGCTGAGTATGTAGTAATTTAAGTAGACTGTAAGCATAGGATTAAGAATTGTAAAAGACAACGGTCGGAATAAATTCACATCTCACTCTGTGAACACGTAGTTATAATTAGTTTTTAAAAAGCTCTCGGCAGCTCCCGCTTTTTGACTGGCGCAGCCGGTAGGATCGCCGGAAAAGCTGTGCCACCGTTCGTGAATATCGCGTATACAATTTTACACATTTTCACGCATCGGCGGGCGATTCATCCAGCTTGGTGGTCCAGCAAACCAAACAAATTTGTCGAGAATAAGAAGCCGTGAAGATGATGATGGGCACTGCGGGCTGGTGAGTACGACTCTTCACCTCCTTCATATCCCTTAGTATTCTTGGAATTAGACATTTTCCATTTTGACTGTTATTTGGGTTTCAAATACTAATCTTACGTAAATTTTATAAAGTATTTAGTGCAATAAATAACTATTACTTAAATAAAAATAAAAATATATTAAATTAATTGTAATACGTACATAATATTAAGTCCCATATTACTCAATGAAATTATAGAGTATATTGTATTATACATTATATTAAGTTCTTATTTTGTCTACATGTGTTTGTTAATTTAAAGATTACTCGACGCGAATTTTGCTTACAACATTTTTGGAACTAGTAGAGTTATAAGAAATATTTTATTTTATTTCTTATTTTTTGTGTTGAACCAGTGAATAAATTATTAAAAATGTCGGAAATTAAACTTATCCCTAATGAGTTAACTAAAATAATACCAATATTTAGCGGCGATATACGCCATTTAAATTTATTTTTGCGTAAATGTGAATTTGTAATAAGCAACTTTAAATCATCCGATGTTCAAAATGAATATATAATGCAAATCATTACTAGTCGTCTTACGGGCGAGGCCGCGTCGCTTATCAGTGAACGGGGAAGATTAGAGACGTGGGCGGAATTCAAGGAATTGTTTTTAACTCACTTCGGCGACCCACGTAGCGAAGAATGTTTAGCCATTGAATTAGAAACTTTTAAGAAACACCAAAATGAAAATTCTATAGATTTTTGTGGTCGTATACAATCCGTTAAATCAGTGCTATTATCGAAGGTTAAATCAAATTGGTGATAAAAACTTGAAAATAAGTAAAACTATTATTTATAATAACACCGCTCTGCAGGTTTTCTTATATAATTTGCCTGAAAATATGGTGCGCATTGTTAGGTTGAAAACACCCAGTACACTAGAGGAAGCACTAAGTATAGTTCTAGAAGAAGTGAACTTCTATGACCAATATCAGATGCGTAGTAAAATGTTACAGTCTAGCCATATGTCTAAGCCACAGTCTAGTAGTATACCAGTGCAACAACCATCGTTTAAGTTCGCAATGCCAACACAGCCTACAGGTTTTAGACCAATGTTAGCACCAAACGTCCTCAAATGAAGTTTGGCATTCCCCATAGTAGACAAATGAATATTCCGTTACCACAAAATAAGCCTCAACAGCAAATGAGTTCCCCTAAGCAATATCACCCACCTCAGTTTGGATACCAACCAAACTTTGGATTTAGACCCCAGGGCTATAGCCCCATGCAACCAATGTTACCACAACAGTTTGGTAATTCTCAGCGTTTTAATTATCCTAGTAATAATAATGTGAATAATAAGCCGGTTTCTAATGATACTGATGTTTCGATGAGAACTGCCCCTCCAAAGCCAGGTTTCCGCCTAAACGAATTAGAAATTTATCCATCATACTATCCCTATGAATTTCCTCAAAATTACATGTATGAAGAAACATACGACAATTATTATGAAGATGAATCCATACAAGAAAATTCTATAATAGAGGTCGACGAAAACAATGATTCAAAGGATAATGACGCGTGCAGACGCGTCATTATCCTTTGAATGAAAGACTGAAAGTTTTCAAGTAAAAGCCTCCGAAAACCCGAAATAATAGAATTGAATTGCAACATAAATCTAAAACTACCATACATATATATACCGGAAATAGATGCTAATTTTATGATAGGCACAGGAAGCACCCGTTCTTTTATAAGTCCTGATAAAGCATATCAATACTACCGTAATTATATAACAAATGAACCCTTTGAAGTTATAAGCACTCATGCATCTAGCAAACACAATCAGGTAATTAAAATTCCACTATTTTCTATATTTCAAAGTAACGACGAACATAAATTTTATCTTTATAATGTCGATTCACGTTATGATGGGTTAATTGGGAATAATTTATTAAAGCAGTTGGAAGCTGTATTAAAGAAACAAGTACTTACCACAAATTCTTCTAGAATACCTATAATACACAATAGCTTAGATTATGCTGTAATACTTGCACCTCGTTCTGAAGTTAGAGCAAAATTACCTGCTAACATGTTTTATGTCGAAGGAATATTAAATTATACCCGATTCTGTGATGAAGTGCGCATGCCTTCTGCATTGGTAACATATGAGAATGGATATTCCACTACAATTAAACAAAATACGTTGGATCATCAAATGGAACTATCTATTTAGAAACCTTTTGAAATTTGTGAATGTTTGGATGATAAATCGTATGTAAATTCTATAGATCACTCTGATCTAGAAACGGACCAGTTATTGCTTGAAAATTTAAAGATGTTACCCGTAAAGCAAGGACAAGCATACAAGGAAGTAGATAAGTGGGTTATAGTTAAGCAGTTAGACTTTAGTAGCATAAAAGATGATTTAAATTTTAATATCAATAAATATAAAGAATTTAGCAGTTTGGTAGACATCCATAAGCCATACGTAAATGAATTACAAAATATGAACACTTAAGTAAATTATTTAAGTAACTTAGCTGTAGAAAAGTTTAAACAACTCATACCTTCGATACGTTTCAAGCGCGGTCTTATTAATCTATTAGGTTCTGTTATCAAAGCGCTTACAGGAAACTTAGACTACAATGATGCAGTAAAATACGACAATCTCATATCTCAATTAAAGACCCAGCAAACGTACACTAATAAGAAAATAACAATAATCTCGGAGATGCTTGACTCTCTTATAAATAGTACAGGATCTCTACAGGAAAATAAGAAAATTATAGATGAACGAATGAAATGTATAAAAAGAATTGTAAAAAATATAATTACTAAAGGAGAAACAGCATATACTCCAAATATGTTTTAAGTATGTTTAACATGTTTGTCAATAATTTTAGAACTATATACTTAATTTTAAGCGAAATAGAAACGGCATTAGCATTTACTAAACTTCACGTTCTACATCAAACCATTGTTAATTCCATTGAATTATTAGTTATATTAGAATCTATATCTTAAACAAATAGTTTATTGTATCCTATTACTGAAAACAATTTAGTTAATTTAGAAAGATCTATGTCTGTTAAGGCCTATGTAAAAGAAAACCAAATAACGTTCATTATGGAAATCCCTCTGACTGATAATATACATGCACTTATTTTAAAATGTATGCTTTACCTATGTTTGATCCCACCTATAATAGAACAACTGTTATTTTTCCCAAATATTCTTACCTCATGGTGAAAGATCACACGTACTTACCCTTAAATGGCCCATGTCAGGAGATAGCAGCAAACCAGTTCCTGTGTGAGGAAAATGTATAGTGCAGTATCCTGAAAACATATGCATAGAACAACTTGTGAACTTCGCATCAAATCTAAGCCTTTGTAAGTTATCAATAGTAGAGCTGGAAAGTGTTAAGATACAGTCTATTGGTCCTATTAACTGGATCCTATTTACACAAAATGAAATAGTGCTTACAAAAACGTGTGGCGATGACACTCAAAGAAATGCTGTAAAGGACACGTACCTCTTGGAAATCTATGAAAACTGTGAGATAAAATTAGGCAATATTAAATTACACCGGAAACGATACTATTCCGGAAAACTTCAATATAAGGTGACACTATTTTAACTCTACTGAAATTGATAGAGCATCCCACAAATGCGGAAAAAACAGTGAATTTAAATTGTTTTAATTTGGATGAACTAAAATATCTCTCGTACAAACTGAAAAGTGAAATAGTGGAAAGTGAAAGTGAAATCTTAGTGAATAAGAAAAGTGTTAGTTTAGCTACAGTACTACTCTATGTTATATTAGTTTTAATTGGCCTTATTATTGTTATTTGGAAAAATAAGTCTAAGCTCTTACATTGTATGCAAAGTCATCGGAATCCAAATCTTGTCGATAACTTTGCAGTTGAGGAGGGAGGAGTTATGGTTACACCAGCACCACCCATAATACGTATAAAGCGTCCATCAGCATAAATACATAAACGCTGAGTATGTAGTAATTTAAGTAGACTGTAAGCATAAGATTAAGAATTGTAAAAGACAATGGTTAGAATAAATTCACATGTCTCTCTGTGAACACGTAGTTTTAGTTTTAATTAGTTTTTAAAAAGCTCTCGGCAGCTCCCGCAACTTGACTACCTTGTTATGAAGACGATACACTTAGACATTATTAAAATTATTATCAACTCTCAAACTTTGATATGAGATGATGATATAAGAATATTACATTATCACATACTTACATAAAATATCATTTAAGTAAAAAACGGCTTCTATAATAGCTTGACAGATAACGAAATATTTCAAAAAACTTTGTACAGGTTATTTCATACAACCTTTACCTATTAAACTCGCTATAACATCAAATATAAAGTTTACTGGATGTGTCATAACGCGCTGTTACTGTGGTTGTGAAACAGGAGGAGTGGCAGACGTGCCAGCAGACCTGGATGTATCTGGAGGCGATATTCAGCGCGCCGGACATTCAGCGCCAGCTTCCCAATGAGACACGACTCTTCAATATTGTCGACAAGTCCTGGAAGGACATCATGCGCAAGCTCGCTAAGGTTAGCTTTTGCTTATTGTATTAGTATTATTATATACTATATAACATTTATACATTTGTTTGCTAGGTTTTTTATTGATGTTGTGGCGGTTTGGAGATTCTAAATCCCCTGAAACGTTGTTTACGCAGTCACAAAATTATACCAAGTCAGCAATAAACTATAAAATTTAGGAAACCAAAATGAAATTGCGATTGTAATGCATTTCAATATGGGATTAGTCAATTGTACTCGTATTTTACCTCTATACTATGTTTTTGATTTGAGACTTTTCTAGATTTTTGAGGTAAAATTTTGAGACTGTAATAGATAAAAAGACTGGTTGCACTTGTTATAAATAGAAGTATGACGTTTAATGGACTGATTTCAAGTCTTATGTTCCATTATTATTCGTTTTAGATTTTTTACATGTTAGGTAAATGATGTGAGAAAGATATATTCCAGTTTGTACGGGTTAATTTTAATTTAGGTAAAGCAACTTCATGATTGTTTCTTGTTTGGCTGAGATTGGTTTGACTAACTGTGCAGTAAGTTAGCGAGGTTAGTCTTTGTGTGGGTACTATCTATGTATGTTAGCACTGCTCTCTGACTCCTAATTATTTTTATAACTGTAGCTTGTTATAACTCGTAATTGGAGGATAACACACCGACTTGTCAGTGAAGTCGCAAGACTCCAATTGAAAACTGTTTTTGTAGCATTATGCTAAATTGGGGACATGTTTGATGTCACATTTTGATTTTGATTTCTTAACTTTTATTATTAAGTAATTATGTGGATGTGCTGCTTCTTAATTAATTGTTATGCGTGCATATTTTTGCCTCGTGCGTTTGTATATATATTTGTTCGTAATTAAATGCAAGTTAAATTTAAACTTCGGAATTTTATTTAATAACTATTTGCTAGAGTGCCGTCTTTGAATAATAAATAATAATAATGCCCTCCAGACCGAATTTCGGCCACGGCAGCCTGCCTCAACGGAGGTAGTGCCCAAGTGTATGCGCAAGCACAGGTGCACTCTCTATTCCCTCACTCTCATGATCCAATGGGACGGTAAACCGACACGACCGGAGAGAGATCAGGCGCAGGACCAACAGCTTTACGTGCAGTCCGAGGCACGGGGTGTGAGACACCGCCAACTTCCTGACTCCGGGCAGCTACTGAGAATTTCTTGACAAAAAAAACTCAATTATAGTATATATTGTACTATAATTGATTTTTTGGCCCAACCCGGGAATCGAACCCAGGACCTCATGATCAGCAGACGCACTACTACAACCACTGGACCAACGAGACAGTCTTTGAATAATTAATACTGTAACGAATACTTACTAATATTAGAAGAAGAGCTACTAATACAAATGTTAGTAAACTGTTGTAAGTAAAACCTGCAGATTATCTATCTATAAATATAAGAACAAATGCCGTCCGTTAGTATCGCTAGAGTACAAAAACGACAGATTTTGATGATTTTGCTGTGTATTTGAAATGAGTCCCTAGATGATTCAGATTTAAAGTTTTTCTATAAAAAAAAAACCTACAGAGAGTGAATGACAAACGCGCACACAGTCCACCTGACGGTAAGTGGATGCTATGGCCCACCATAGACATCTACATTTATCATCGGTTAAGAATCAAAATGCAGATGCGTTGTCACCCTTGAGGACTAAGATTGAGTACCTTGTTTCTAGTAAAAAGGGTCTCCGATTCTCTATACTCACCATACGAAACACAGCAACATGAAGCTGCTATTTTCCGCTGATATTCTGTGAGAGCATGGTCCTACCCCGTTTGAGTTGACCCATTCATGCTACAGTTATATAGCTGCAGCATGGCTTTATCAAGTAAAATTTAACCTACCTGAGAAAATCCGAGAAAATTTGCACACGTGAAATGGGTCATGTATAATTTGGCACGATGTCACCCAGATATTGGTTGTTTCAGGTGCCACTGGCAATGCCGGCTGCTACTCAGCCGAAACTCTACGAGGAGTTCGTGCGCAACAACGAAATGCTAGACCAAATCATGAAGTGTCTCGAAGCCTACCTAGAAACCAAGCGCGTCGCCTTTCCGCGCTTCTTCTTCCTGTCCAACGATGAACTGCTGGAGATCTTGGCACAGGTTAGACGAATTCTGTTATGCATTTTACCCGTTTTTATCGCGTAAATACAAACACTATCTTATACCAAATTTAAATAAATGTGTTCATATTGCATTCTAGTTCATTCATCTGCTTTCATGAAGCGTGAAAATTACTTTCCCTCATTAGTTGTTTCTGAGAAAGTATGTATAATGATTGAACTTAACAATGTTCACATTAGAGTTTTGTTATAGGTAGTCTAGGTTATCTTCCGTTTACCAACATTATGCACTTCTTGCATAATTTCATTTGCTCACAATCAATGAATTATGCCTAACTTATAGTCGTTTATTATCGCTTATTATGTATCAATTATCTCTACGTCCGTCTCTATCTAAAGTTATTTATTTAAAATGGAGAACTAAAGCAACGGAAACATGAAGTGTCGTGAAGTCGTAAATTTTCAATGTCATCAAATTTTGACTTTCCAATACTTTTGTGGTTACACATTTAAAATTTTATAACATCGAAAATAAATATCTTTATGAGATGGCCACTAACAAGGGTAGGTCTTGTTAACTGACAGGCTTTATCGGCGTAAACGCCTCGCTTGTCGAGTGAATTGCCAATTATACCAACAGATTTAAATATATATACTAACATACTTAAATGTCTTTGCAATTACAGTATCTTCTCAGTTATTTTTTTGCACTATTTTACAAATTGTAGTCGGTAGAATCTTTTGTAAAGTCATTGGTGGTCATTGGTAGAGTCGTTAGTAGAGTCAACGATCACGAGTCACCAGTAGGGTCATTAGTAAAGTAGTCAGTAGAGTCATCGGTTAAAGCATTGATGGAAACAGTAGAGTCAAAAACTATGTGCAACTTACAACACATAGTACAAACTAAAAGATCAATTAAAACCTGCGTTAAAAACATATAGCTGATGTAAAGAATCGACGCTCCGTGAAATCTGCAGTCTGTGAACACGTACAGGATCGCCACCGTTACTACATCAGATTTGATATACCAAAAATCCTCGCTGAAGAACACCGATTCCTTCCAAGGATGATTCGGGAGGCTATTGAAATCAAAAAACATCCCAATTTCAATAGAGAAGATGGCTGGGTGCTATCATCTGCTTGGGATCCTATAACTTATAAAATTAAATCCTAGTCCAAGCATACAACTGTATCACTTTAAGATACTATAAGTTCATACAGCGTAGATCGCGACAAAAATTAATAATTTTAATATGTGGTAACCGCGGTTAACTATGACATCTGGTCGCTGAACATCTCAGACCTCCCCGTGACCATGGGTGCTGTAAAGTGCTCGAAACGTCGGGTATATAAAAGAGTTAATATATGCGATAAAATCAAATACAACATAATCAAACAAAAACAAATTTTGATGCGGTTAACGGCAATTGACGTAGTTTGTTGAGTAGAAGAGCTTATATGTATATAGATTATAGAATTAATCAAAATAAGGATGTCGAAGTAATTCCAAAACAGAACTCTTACCTATTGAAAATTAAAAAAGGCGAATTTATAAGGTTTTCTCAGAAGCTACCGTGCCGATTCGGTCTAAATTCACAGAAAATCTAAATTCAGCAAGGCCCCTTCAGATGTCGTAAACCCCTTTTCGATCGGACACGCCGTTACTAAGTTTGAGATGTTTATATGTTTACTCACTTACACATACACACACACACACACACACACACACACGGGGCACACGCGCACACACACACACACACACACACACACACACACACACACACGACACGCGCGCACGCACGCACGCACGCACGCACGCTAAGAACTCCATTTTTAAAAACCGGGATGAAAACAATAACTTTCGGATCTTTTGAAAATCATAGATTCTCATAGCGGGAATTCAAAATAAGGCATTAGATCAAAAACGCGTGGAAGAAAGGGAGGAAGAGAGAGATCAGAGAATCTAACAATCTTTGTGTAAAGTTACAAACAAAAGACGAACATCATTTTAAGCACATGTTTCGTGTGAACTGAACCCAATTTTATTATTTGTTAAAAACATTGGTTAATCTTTACAAAGGCAAAATAGAACTATGTGTAATCATTTATATACTACATATATGTCAATTTTGGTAAAGCTATTCCCACTCAAAAGGAACTAGAACCGGAACTCCACAGATTTAGAACTCCAAATTCCTATGCATATACTACTAGTACAGCATTACGTGCAACACGATTCTTGTGAACTTCATTAAATCAGCAGAACCGAATCTTACCACTTTTGATAATTTTTTTAAGGACACCTTTCTTTTAAAACATTCAACACTGGAATCAAAAATTCGCCAATGCAAATACGCGCAATATTTGAAGCAACACGTTAAATAATGTAACAAGCACCTACAGTTTAGACAATTAAAAACTTGTATACCGATGACCTTCAGCTTTATGTGCAAACTGAGATTGGGGATATCCATAATGGGATCAAAAACCTTAACGGCAACTTAGCAGCTATCAAGGATTGGTTTACTCGTTATGGAGTTTTGGTCAATCCTTTGAAATGCCAAGCTATACTGGTGGGTAGCTCAAGGATGCTGGCTAAGATTAATCTGACAGACTTACCTCCTATTTACTATGATAATACTACAATTCCATTCAGTAATTCCGTTAGAAATCTTGGCCTTCACGTCGACAGCACGCTGAATTGGAGAACTCAGGTTTCTGATGTGAGTCGTAAAGTCACTACCACGTTATGCTCTCTGTATCGTTTAAAACATTTTCTTCCCACAAAATCCAAGATCATGCTTGTCCATTCACTTATATTACCCATAATTGATTATGCAGATGTGTGTTACCCAGACCTGTCCCAAGATCTTCTGAACAAGCTGGAACGCCTCCTCAATAACTGTATAAGATTTATCTTTGGGCTTCGTAAGTATGATCATATTTCGCAATACAGATTTAAGCTAAATTGGCTTACAATCTGGCAGAGGCACAACTCTAGAATATTACTTGTACTTTTTTCCATATTAAATGATACATCTTCGCCTTCTTATCTTAAGAGTAAATTTCATTATCTTTCCTCATCTCATGATAGGGTCCTACGCTCTTCTTCTAACAACAAAATCTGTACCCCAGTTCACTTCACCGAGTTCTATGGTAACTCCTTCACAGTTCAGGCTACACGCCTTTGGAACTCCTTGCCAGATGACATCAGAAAAGCTCCGAATAAGTACGCTTTTAAAAAGTTGGTCCGTGATCATTTATTAAAGACAACCGCATTTTACATGACTCATCTATTTATTTAATATGTATTGCCAAACAGACGTATATATTCATAGCCATTTGTATATATTAATTATGTATGTATTTAAATATGTATACTTGTATGTGTATCCATTTATTTATATATTTGTATATACCTATGTAAGGTTAGATCGTATATGTATAGTTTATTTATTAGTAGTTTGTATATATTATGTAGTTAATTATCATTTGTTTTGTGTTCTCTTATTCTATATTGCCTCACCCTTCAAATACTCATCCCTCCATGGGTTGACTGGTAGAGAATGCCTCAAGGTATTAAGTCCGCCGTTTGTATTCTTTTGTTTAAGGATGCAATAAATAATAAAATAAAAAAAAAATAAAAAGCAATAATTATCACCTAAACATAATTGTCTTGGTGTGAACAAAAGGCACTAGCTGTGGTCTTGTGGTAAACGGTTTTTCTAGCGATAAAAACTAAAAATTATTTTGACATAGCATATAGTAATATTTACCATCGTCATAAGTTTATGAACATACATTTTCGTAACCATAAACGTAATGAACCCTAGTTTATGAGTGATTGTTACAGACTAGAGTTTATTACGTTTTATAGTTTAACATGTTTGTCATCAAAAATTCTGCACCTGTTTGTGCTGAGGAAATAAATATACTATATTCTTAAAAATGTAGAAGACCTACCTCCCTGGCCACGATTGGTGTCGCTGCTAGTATTACAGACGTACATTCTTTTTGGAAGACCGTGCTGTATGCACTTAGCAGCATTAGTTTATTTAATATGTATGTAACTGTTCGACGGTGGATTAGATCCACTTGAGTTAATTTTTTGCTTAGTAGTCTGATTGTAGTAGTTATCAAACTTTTCTTAACATTAATAGCATATTCGGCCGAAGTTTACTCCATACAAAACGTATTCGTCCATTTTTGATTATGACACTACAGTAAATAATTTAACGATTTTATGTATCTTTCACTGTCTGGTTAGTTATATTTTCATTTTTACAATTTTACTGTGTTGAAAACAAGGAATCTTATAAAAATACTAAATTATTTAGTTTTGTAGGAGGAACAAATGAATAGAGTAGTTATTTTCTAAAATATCTATAATTAGTCCGAGTGGCAGATGTCCCTCTCGGTTGCTTAGAACAATAGAATTCGCGGCAGCAATAGGTTTAAATACTTATCGCTTATATTTATTTTTTGGAACCAGAATTGAAACTCAATAAAACTCTTAAATCGTAGTGCATCTTCTGTTATGCTATGGTATTGACCTCAAAGACCGGGCAGGTTGTAGATTTAAGTCCTCCGAGGTGACAATGCATCTGCAACTGTGATTGTTAGAATTTGGTTGCATTGTTTTTTATTAATGTAAAACAGATAATGTGGGTATAGGGTGAGGGTGGCTTGTTGAGGGGTAGGGGTTCTAGTGCGTGTAATGAAGTGCTTGGTGCTCGCAGACACGCAACCCACACGCGGTGCAACCGCACCTGCGCAAGTGCTTCGACGCGATCGCGAAGTTGGAGTTCGGCGTGCGGCTGCCGGCCAGCGAGATGGTGGTGGCGGAGGACGGCACGCTGGTTGAACGCGAGATGTCACCGCGAGAGCGCGACCGCCTGCAGGCCGCACTCGCAACCTCTGCGCGCCCCGACGAACTCACCACAGACATCATCGCCATGCTCTCGCCGGAAGGCGAGCGAGTCACTCTTGGCAAGGTCAGACAACAGCCAACTATACACATTTGTTTAACGACTTTCCTTTTTGATCAAACGTTTAGTTATCGTATTTAATTTGAGTTAGTTCGTAAGTAGGTACTGTTATAAACATTTCCCATTCATTTTATTTTAAATTGAAATAAGGCGGTAAACGAGCATACTGTCCACCTGGTGGTAAATGGATGCTGTGGCCCATAAATATCTTGTCACCCTCGAGGACAAAGGTAAAATGCCTTGTTTCCAGTAACAAGGGTCTCCAGTTTTCTATACTCATCACACAAAACATCGCAACACTGAGCCGTTATTTTACGCTGGTATTCTTTGAGAGCGTGGTCTTTCTCCAGTCGAGTCAACCCATTCGTACTACTAATGTGATAAAGCTGCAGCACGGCTCTACCACGTATAATTAATTTATCGATACAAACTAACCTATTTAATTTTTTTTGTATTATGTCTGTTTTTGAATTTACGCAATATTCACAATGAGTTTTAAAAAAAAGCATGAAAATTTTCCTGGTATTTGACATGTATAATTTAAACTGATTTTCAATATATTTGTCAACATAGAATCATAATAATCATCTTTTGAGCTTATCAAATGCCTCCTTAATTTAAGAATTTCTCTCTCTCTCAAACATAGATGATGGCATTTTATTATTTTGAACTATTATCTGAAAATGCTGCTGTCCGTTGTTTGTTGAATTTCTCTCTGTTAGCTTGTTACGACACACGGGCCACACGATTTTCATGATTCATTTATTTGAGGCCAAAAATTCTAGAAAGCAAAATTTAAAAATTTGTTGGGGGAACTAACAATGAACTCTAATTTCGACATTCTGAAAATTGTTGTGGATAAACGCTGACTTAAAAAGTACGAAATAACAAGAACATTAAAGTCAGCTTTGGTCCAAAGGGCAAACGCAATGTTTTTACTTAGTCATTAGTTTTTATTTATGCCAAAATTAGGATTATAATCAATAATTTGAGAAGCCATGATATATTACGTGTCCCAGAAATCAACGACAATCCGAAAACGGGGAATAGACTAAGTCGTGATAGTTAGTAGAAAAATATTAAAAAAATCTTTGTCATGCACTTTACAAATTATATGAATTCAAAAATAAATCTCGAAAATCGACATCCTGTGATAATCTTTCAATTCCTGTGTCTACAATTGTTACCTTTCGTCAGCTTTTTTTTCTGTGATTTAACAATGAATAACTCTTCTGTAAATTATGGTTTAAACTTGTAACGTAACTGCTTTATTTTTAAATACAATATTAGAATTTTGCCCAACATTTAAAAATAATTACATCAACTCTAACCGACTTTATTATAAAAAATGTTAATTTTAAAAAAAAATAAATAAAAAACACTATTTTAGCAAGTAACTCTAAAAGTTGGCACGATTAGTTTGAATTCCAAAATGGTATGACAGTTATTCCTACTTCTTAATTGAGGAAAATATTTTTGTAATGAAGCCGGATTTTCATAGATGTTCAATTGAGACGAAGAGTGACGTTATTTTGACTAGTGTGAGCGAGACACATGGTGATGTTACTTTGTTAAGTGTGGGCGAGATAGATAGTGATGTTCAATATCGGTGTACTTTCCGCGATGGCAGGGTCTGAAGGCTCGCGGCAACGTGGAGGACTGGCTGGGCAAGGTGGAGGCGGCCATGTTCGCGTCCGTCAAGCGCTGCATGAAGCTTGCGATGCGTGACTACCTGGAGCGCCCGAGACCCACCTGGTCAGCACTTCACCCCAACCAGGTCCTCACATGCTGGAAATACACATAAAAATACATAGCACCAACATTAACCCATGTCTGGTGTTCCGTAACTAAAACAAATACCTAAATAAACGCAGCTGTGACAGCGCCCTCTCGCATCACATCTACGCGGTTTTAACGCTAATGTTATTCATTCTGTGGCTAATGCGAGCGCACGCTGTTGAATGTTGAACAGGCCGTCTCGATTTCTATAAATTAATAGTTTTACTCTTAAGTACTATAACAACCTTTATTAAACAATTTTTTCATAATAAAATTTATAAACTTTTTGATAAATAATGCCTGCATATTTCCTGGGACTTTGAAGTAAAACGTATAACATTGCTTCATGAAGGAATTACTGACTCCTTGACTCGTATAACTAACTTGTGCTTATTCCTAGTATTTACAGAATGTATATCACTAATTCAAATAGCTAATTCTAGAAATCGAATTATTTCTCATACATAGAGGTTTCCTCACGATGTTGGTATACTTTACCAACAAACACAACATGTTAAATCAGCACTTAAAACTGTAACGGACTTATATTAGTGCTGGTGCAGATCGAACGTAGGTTGACACGTTCTGTTAAATTTACAGCTCTCTTACATGTTATACTACAGACTTTATGTAGGCCGCAGAAACTGTTAGATATAGGAGCGTTGTCACCCCTGACTCCCTGAAGACTAAGATTGAATGCCTCGTTTCCAGTAAAAAGGATCTCAGGTCTTCCATGCCCATCATACGAAATACAGCAGTTTTCAGGTGCTATTTTACACTGGTATTTTGTGAGATCATGGTCCTACCCTGGTCGAGCCGACCCGTTCGTGCTACAACCGTAATATAGCTGCAGGTTGGCTCTACCACGTAAATTACAGGTGTTAATAAAAGGCTTTTAATACACAACACTTATATCCTTACTTTAGTCTGAAAACAATACGATTTTAACTATTTAGGGCAGACGATACCGGTTTGGATGTTCGTGTCGAATTGAACTGTGCACAATGTACAATGAGCTTCCAGACAGTGCTGAAGAAGGGTAGGTAGGATTTCCATGTGGTAGGGTACAATATGTACAGGAAATGTTTGTTCAAGTTGAACCAAATTTGTTGCCATGGACGCGTTGTTTTAGTAGTTTGATGTAGGCGTTGGTTTCGCAGGTGGTGTTAACAGTGTCGCAAATCATGTGGGCGAGGGGCATCCACGAGGTGCTGGGTGGCGTGAATCCCGTGTCGGGGCTGGCGGAGTTCGAGCAGCGCAGCGTGAGCGCACTGAATGCGCTGGCGGCGCTGACGCGGCAGCCGCTGGGCGCGTTGTTCCGCCGTGTGCTGTGCGCGCTCATAACCGTTGACGTGCACGCGCGTGACATCGTCACCAACTTACGTGCCGAGCACGTGCGCAGCACGTGAGTCAATATACCTAGCCACAATACACAAACAGGCTTAACACACCCACACACACACACACACACACACACACACACACACACACACACACACACACAAAACACGAATCAATTATTAACATTCAATCGCCTCATCACACCACGCCACGCTCAAACACACCACAGCAATAAAACTGGCGTTTACTAAGTTCGTCTGTGATATTCGCAACTCGTGGGCACAACTGGTATTTTTTATAAGATAGGATAACAAACGAGCACACAGTCCATCTGGTGGCAAGTGGTAGCTGTGGCCCATAGACATCTACATCTATCCTCGATTACGAACCAAAATGCAGACACGTTGTCATCCGTGAGGACTAAAATGGAATGCCTCGTTTCCAGTAAAAAGGGTCTCCGGTTCTTACTGACAGCAGCGTTAGCACTATTTGACGCCGGTATTCTGCGAGAGCGTGGTCCCTCTCCGGTCGAGCCGACCCATTCGTGCTACAACTATACTACTAATATAACTGCAGCATTGCTCTACCACGTAGAAAATATTATTTATTTATTTAACATACGGTACAATTATACTAGGAATGTCTTGAGTATCATGAGGGGTTCATCATCATCTGTATTTTACTAGGCGATAGTTTTTCTGTCTAGAACTCCATATGAGGTCACACCTCCCTCTTATCTATTATTAGGTTCTATTATTAGTATCTTGAGGGTCTTTGCGAGAGGCTCGATGGCCAGACACTAGGTAGGTTTGTCAAGCTACATGTATTAAAGTGAGCTTGATAAATCTATCAAATTTGTATGCATTTTGTGAATTTTTATTTTTATTTCGTTTTATTTCTATTGTGCTTTATTTAACTGTTTCGTGTACTAACATTAGTTCTTAAGTTTTATTTGTATTACTAACATGCTATGGGCCTACGATGCCTAAAATATAAAACATTTTTATTTTTATTTTATTTTATTATTAGAAGTTTCCTCCTAGCTATTTCTGTCGCCAAGCGGCAATGCGCGTACTGCTTTGTTTCGGTCTTTAAGTTTGAGAATTTGAGGTGCGTATGAGCTGCAAAAGTCACTAACCGTTATGTAGACTACAAGTTCGATAAAAAAATTAAAACGAAAAAAATATGTGTTCGTCGCTTCAGTTCAATAAAAAAAAACAACTGCTAAGTTTCCCTCAAGGAACGCCTCAAAATGCTACATGAATTAAATGGACAAACATCCAAATTGCCACAAACTGCAATCCGTGGCCGTCCGTGTGAGAGGCCTATGTTAGGCAAGTTCTACAATGGAGTCGTAACGGGCTGTAATTATAATGAAACATGTACATTACACAAATACTCGTTCCATATGGGATTGATGACCAGACTTAGTAGTCGCTGTGTTACCGAATCAGCCTTCTTATATTTACGTGAACATTACACATTGAGTGAAACTACTTTTACGGATTTTATCATTTGTTCAATTGTATATCCTAAGTTTCCGATGCTTCCAGCACCAATAGTCACGGGGGTTTAACGTCCAGATGTCCGAGTTAACGCAGAGTACCTTCAGCTTTTTAGTTATTGCATTTGTTTATTGCAGTCTTACGGTGGTATGCTTGGGTTTAGTTTCAATTTTATTAATTACAGGATCCCAAACAGGTGGTAGTACCCAGCCGACGTCTCTATTGAAATTGGGAAATTTTTTGATTTCAATAGCCTCACGTATCTTACGGTAGTATGCTTGGGTTTAGTTTCAATTTTATTAATTACAGGATCCCAAACAGGTGGTAGTACCCAGCCGACGTCTCTATTGAAATTGGGAAATTTTTTGATTTCAATAGCCTCACGTATCATCCTTGGTAGGAATCAATGTTAGTTTGTGAGGATTTGCGGTCTAATAAATCTGATGTAATGGTTGGGACCGTCTAGGATATGATCAGAAAGTGCAGACTTCACAAAGCGTTGGTATTTCACGTTAGCTATATTTTCTTTTACGCGGGTTTTTATAGATCTCTTTGTTTTCTTATATACGAGAGATCACATACACAATCAAGCTTGTACACTCCTGCATCTTGTACAGATATATTAACAGATGGTAAGTACTGACTAATCTTCTTTGGCTGCTCGAATGTTCTAATAGAAATTTGAAAGTAGTAGAAAACAAAATGCCAGCAGAATATGCAGTATTACTCAAACATTGCCTTACATCTGGCTATCTATTTTGGAAGGTGGTATAAAAATTAAGCAAATTAAACGTGATAAAATCCATAAAAGTAGGTTTATTCAATTAGTTTCCACATTATAGTAGATATTATGATCATTATTTTCGTCATTGCACTGCATCAATGAACTTGTCATTGTAGAACATTAATTACTTCATACACCTATACCAAAATAATTTACAAAACTAAGATAACGCTAAGTCTTATTACCTAACTGATGTGTTATAAACAAATGATTCATTCATGTGTGTTCTTATTGCATATTTACGTGCTCACAAAATTTTATTGTGCTTTGATTCAAAATTTATAAGAGAAAGTCTACTAAAGATTATAAATTATCAATGTATTTAGTGTTATCACCATACAGGGAGTATATTATAATTTAGTTTGAGAAGTTGCATTGCAGCTCAGATTTCGAGTGGCTGAAGATGATCCGGTACTACTGGGAGGAGGACATCGATAACTGCGTAGCGCGCATGTCCAATGCGAGCTACGTGTACGGACACGAGTACCTCGGCGCTGGAGGTTGCTTGTTTCACATATTATTATTTATTATACACATGTAAATGCACTAACGGACAAGTTTATAGGAATGCAAAAAAAAATGGTTTAATTTCTCCGAACTGGTGTGTGGTGCGAACTGGCCACAAATATAAATGCTATTAAAAAGAATTTTTGCATGTTTTTTCTCTAATTTCATTTTTTATACAATTACTTACCTAGGTACTGTATTACGCTCTTTCATACTGCAAAATATTGCCAACTTTTGAATTTGAGTTTTGAGATTTAATTGATTTCATTAGATCTCGTACGGAACTCCGCATCAATGACTAACAGCGGTACGATACAAGTGTGTAACTGAGGTTTTGGAAGAAATTGTAGTGCCTTTATCCCCTTTTTTTGGAGATAGAGTTGGTTTCATGCATGACTAGCGATCCGCCCCGGTTTCGCATGGGTCTCAACAACAGCGTCACTTACCGGGTCCAACTAAGTTTTTAAACCACCCTGGGATCCACTCAAATACACACGAAAATCATTTTTGTGTGTACTTGAGTGGATCTCTAGTTGAATTTGCCAAGCCGTATATATATATATATATAGAAATAATATAACGCACATCTCCCATACTGCAGCCGTTATTGTCGAAAACTCTTGACACGTTCAAATCAATGCTATGGGGTGGCCAGCGCGCTTCCCAACTTAAATTCTACTAGCCTGTCAGGCAGACGGTGTTCTGCCCTTTTCGACGACCCTTTGTCATGACTTATTAAAATTCCTTAAATTAGCAAAAAAAAATTGTGGGTCACTCATGGGCAAAAAAACTATCCTATCTCCCAAGTTGGACCAAACTGCACACGGTGCGCAAATTTGATTAAAATCGGTTAAGTAATTCAGGAGTCCATCGCGGACAAACAACGTGACACGTAATTTATCTTAATCTTTATATATATATATATATATATATATATATATATATATATATAAGATAAAGCATGTATGCGATAAGTTTGGAAGACAAATTAAAAATAGAATCCCCGGGTGTATGAATATAAAGGAGGAGAGAGTGGTGTGTTAGGATTATGCCATATGGAAGTCTGTACCCTCTGCCTACCCCTCCAGGCGATAGGCGTAAGTGTTTATGGTATGATTATGTTATACATTAAGAAATCGTTTTGACTATTAATGTATGGATATGTTTGACGCGTGGTGTTGTGTTGTTAGGCGTGCTGGTGATCACGCCGCTGACGGACCGCTGCTACCTGTGCCTCATGGGTGCGCTGCAGCTAGACCTGGGTGGTGCGCCCGCCGGGCCCGCCGGCACCGGCAAGACTGAGACCACCAAGGACCTCGCCAAGTCGGTCGCCGTACAGTGCGTCGTCTTCAACTGCTCCGAGGGTGCGCTCTACTACTTTTCACACTGACTCATTTCAGTCTTGTACAATATAATATATTTTTTTTACATATTTTTGTGCAAGCAGTCATGCAGATCTAGAAACACCAGTATCTGTGTGTATGATTATTATTGAATACCAGCGTGAAATAGTAGCTTAATGCTGCTGTATTTCGTATGGTGAGTGTAGAGAACCGGTGACCCTTTTTACTGGAAACGAGGCATTCCATCTTAGTCCTCACGGATGACAACGCATCTGCATTTTGATTCGTAATCGAGGATAGATGTAGATGTCTATGGGCCACAGCAACCACTTACCATCAGGTGGACTGTGTGCTCGTTTGTCACCCTATCCTATAAAAAAAAAAAAAAAAAAAAAAAAATGTAGTGATCAGTGAGATCTATATTGTGATCTCACTGAACTCAATGCACTGCCTACAGAGTTTCAATCACTCCCAAAAGTACGTTTTCGCAGGATTGTCAAACAATGGCTTGAGGAGCAATGCTTCTACTCTGTTGAGGAATATTTAAAATTTATGATTAGGATTAGGCATCGATATTAAAATTAATTAAGTAATTACTATCATGTATACATACTTATTTTATTTTTGTATATAATTATTTTAATTAAATTAAATGTAATAAAATTATTATGATGATTTTGAAAACATGTTAATTAATATATTAGATTAATATTTGCATGTCAACATTATGACAAAACATGCTGGACTTAAATAATTTATCAACCTGTAATGTACCATGTTTTCTGTAAATAAATTATGATTATGTGATCGCTGCTATAACTATAATTCAATGCTAAGCACTACATCCTTAATGAAAAGGAGTTGCTTAGCTGTGAGCAATTTCACTTCTTCTGGGCTAAGTACATAGCTACCCAGATGAGTGTTACGTTTGCGCTTTCCATGATCTCTGGTTTGCACATTAAGGGTCCGCAACATAGATCATAGAAACAACAGTTCTACAATCTGTGGTCCGCAATCAGGATGTACAGAGTTGTTTCTTCCGTTAAGGAACAGAATCGGCACCTTGAATTCCCCTGGTTTAGTGGTTATTCATGGGCGGCGGTAGTCACTTACCATCAAGTGAGACGCATGCTCGTTTGCCCCCCTCTTCTAAAAAATCTTTGAGTTGCTTAGTTCACGGATGGACATGTGCTATTTTAAACATCAGTATATTCTTTGAGATAACAATATAATACTATACAATATCGTGTATTGTTGGTGTAAGAATTTCCACTACCCCAAATCATCCCCTACCTAGAAGTCGTGAGAGCCGACAGATGGAAACAAATCAGTGGACGGCCAGCAGTACCTTCCTAATAACGACGATAAGTAACAACCTGCGATTTACGAGCGTGGTAACTATAACAAATATCCCCCCGTAAGACAATCTATGGGGAGGCCTATGTTCAGCAGTGGACTTTAATATACTGTAACGGTAACGGTAACGATACTTTTGGTTTTGTTCTTTTACTATAATATTAATTCAGTTATTTACCTGTCATATCTCTTGTTAGCGTTGTTTTAAACCCTCAAAAACAATGACTTAGGTTGACATTTTCAATAACAAAGACTGTGGTTATATTCTCTATGTTCAATAATAACACTTTTCTATGAGAAAAGAACTGTAAAACAATCAGGTACTCACGACTTTTTCTGCCACTAGGGCGACGCATCTTGAGTTAAGGCTCATAACAATAACTAAAACATGCTTTAGTTATTGTTATCAGAATTAAGGTGAAATATTTGACAGATTTTTTGACAATTGATTATTTGACAAGGGGAAGTTTAATTGTAAGAAAAATATAAATTTTAATGGTTCTTTTTGAAATATTTGATATAATAAACCTGGATAATTAATATATTCATAATATATTAATTATCCAGATTAATATGGATAAATTCAACTACGGATATTCTTTAAAGTATAATTATTAAAAAGAGAGTAAATTATGCAAAAAATTAGCATAACCACTTAAAAATTGTTTTGTGTATTTAAGTAACACTAAAAACCGAAATACATATCTAGGTTTTTAGCTAGGAGAGTGCCGTTTTTTATATAACAAGTTAACGTAATTATCTATACTTTTTATTTTTTTTAACCAAATTAATCACCCATACAAACGATGCATCTTTGCCTATGCATTGGCAGTTTATTGTTGCCCTTCTTGAAGAAATCAGTTGGACGGGAGGTAACAAATTTTTCAAAGGCATTTTGTACTGCCTATGGGGTATTGAATTTTTTTTTCCTGCCAAAAAGTTATTCTGGAAATATTTAGTCTGTAGGCACAACATCTGGTGATTACGGTGGATGACCGAGAGCTTTCAACCCCAGCTCTTGTAATTTGGAGACAGTCTGTTGTGCAGTATAAGGTCGCGCATTGTCGTGCAGGAGCGGCAGAAACGAGCGATTGACCAAAGCTAGTTGGAGACGTGCACGCTTCTCCATCATTGTGTTCAGTTTTTTACAGTACACATCTGCTATAATGCTCATCCCGTTTGGTTACGAAGCTGTAATAAATCACACCGGCGCTAGACTACCAAACAGTAACCATCACTTCTAGTTGTAAGTTCTCGTTTAGGGCATTGTTTAGTTGCTGAACCAGGATCGAACCAATTTGCCGAGTGCTTGAATTGTCAAACAGAATAAATTTTTGTCACAGGTAACAAATTGATTCAAAATCCCTTTGTTTATGTGCCTATTGAGTAGTGCGAGGCATGTCGCTGACGATCATTGATTTTCTGGGGCACTTATTTGTCAAGCTTTTTTACCTTGCCAATTTGACGGAAATGAACCAATATTGTTTTTATACTAACGTCGAAAGCTGCTGCTAATTCAGCCAAAGATTGAGTATCATGAGCTTCCACAATAAAATTGAACCGACGGTAGCCTAATGGCAGGATGCGGACCGCGAACTTAAAAGATCGTGAGTTCGATTCCGCTAATCGTCTACTGTCATGAACCACTCCTAACCGCAAGCATTTTAAGCAGGAGTGGTTAAAGGAAATATTACTAATGTTTATAGCATTGCTAGTAGTTTTCTCTTAAAAAAATTGAGTCGACCTAAATTTTCGGACGGCCACGGGGTATTTTAGGTCGAAATTACCAGAACGGAAGGGGGCAAATCAATAACGGGTGGGGCGTTCGTTTGTAGTATTCGCTTTGTAAACGTTAGACGGTACTCATATTCCATATTCCATAATTACTCAAATTTTTAACGCATCCATGATGACGAAAGAGATTCAAATGCGGTGAAAACATAACGCGTCGATATACATTTGAAATATAATAATTATAATATATTGAATAAGTATATTTGAAATTTCGAAATTTTATTTATTTGTTTATTTATTTTACCACTTACAACTATCATCACAGGTGTATTACCTAATTAAATTAGATTTCGTAGCCAAACAACAATTATTTTGATTAGAAATTGCCAGTACTGGAGAACGCATATTATTTAAATCGCAATTTTTACTGATCATACAGTATAAAAAATAATTTCACCTCAGTCACAAGTAGTGACATCTGGCGAGCAGCAAATTATTAACACTCATTGTTAAATAATCGTGACAAGTCTTCACTTTATAATGAACATTACCATTACAATATTGCTTCACAAAACTTGGCTTTGCTTTCAGCTCTTATTAAGAATATAAATCCGGTTTCAACCGGTAAGTGAAGTTCAGGACGAGTCCACAATTATTTACATAGCAATTTTTTAGTGTCTCTCCCTTCATCTCTTACCAGATTGCCGAGTGACAAACTGGTAAGAGATGTAGATTCACTGACAGATAGCTGGTGTTATAAGGAGAGACTTAAGCTACTTTTATTTTGGAAAAAGATTTAGTTGTCGTCGCGAAAAGACAACAAGAACAGATAATGCATGCAACGTGCGTTTAACGACAGACACTTGTCACTTCTTAGCGGACGCACGAGTATAAATTTATACCGTGCTTTCTGATTCTTAGAATGTGTTTGAGAATATTTACTGAGTCTGATGTTTATAAACATTGTATTCTACATTTTCATGTATAAATGCCTAAACTAAAACGTTTGGGTAGTAATAGACGAAGATGTAGAACACAATGTGTTATTTCCGCTTATTTTTTAATTTTATTATCTTTTTTAATTTTACCCCTCGATCTATCTCTTTCACGTTAATAATAATAACAGAGGGTGGATAGTTATTCACTAATTTAATTTTGCTATTAGTCCCATGCTGTATTGAGTAATGTAGTCTCGCGATATTTAACGCATAAATCGATGAATTATTCATCGCCCATTTTGACAACAAAACGCGTGCCTGGTGCCAAGGTCCATTTTTTTATGACGTTCTACGCTTAAGTTCGAGGAACACACTAGTCAATCGCGTGCCATTGCACACAAACATCCCCTTTAACTTCCCACGGCTATCTATCTGGATGTCGCAGGTCGACGTTGCGTCACAGGCATTTGATTGCTTTGCATACGATAAATGTGTTCCTAATTTATAGTTTCTTGTACAAAATCAAGAGTCCACACGTCATTCCGTATACGTCGTCTCTACCTTAATATGAACGTTATTACTCTATGGCCAATGTCAAATAATGATCGAATGTCGACCGCTAGGCAACCAATAGTAGTATTCAAAATTGATGTTAACTCTGCTAAATAGTAATAAAGCTTATAAAGCTATCCTCAATAAATATATGTAAGGTTACTATCATGACTAAATTTCAATCTTGGTAGTGGCGGTGTAAGAATATCCACTATACCATATCGCACCGTGAGTGTTGTAAGAGGTGACAGAGGGAAATGGAAACATAAGATGGCCAGCAGCCAGTTTCACCATCGCACATCGCGACAAAACTCGCGATACCATCCATACCATCTGAATAACTGGCGGTCCACCACTAAGCGATATAAAAGAAGTTTTCTTCCTCGCACAATTTCCTTGTGGAATCAACTACCACCAGAGATTTTTCCGGACCGATACGACTTAGGGACCTTCAAGAAAAGAGTCTATTGTTTTTTAAAAGGCCGGCAACGCATCTGCAATCCCCCTGGTGTTGCGGTTGTTCATGGGCAGCGGTTGTCACTTACCATCAGGTGAGCCGTATGCTCGTTTGCCCATCTCCTATAAAAAAAGCATTTTTCTTATAAGAACAGCTTAAAATAATAAAAAAAGTTCGGTTACCAACCCGGCATGACAACTATGGAGAAATCCTCCCAATGATGCAATCTATGGGGTAGGCCTATGTTCATCAGTGGAGTTTTGTATGCTGGAATGGATAGAATATGATGATTCAATCTATAAAAACTGCGCCACGACAAAATTGGAGAAAAAAACAACAAGAAAGATGATACTTATAATTATGAACTGCGTTTGTGTTTAGGGTTGGATTATAAGATGATGGGTCGGTTCTTCTCGGGGCTGGCCACGTCTGGAGCGTGGTGCTGCTTCGACGAGTTCAACCGCATCGACATCGAGGTGCTGTCCGTCATAGCGCAGCAGCTCATCACAATCCGCAACGCCAAAGTGGCCAGGCTCTCCAGGTGAACGGACTGATCTTACCAAACACTTATATGTGTACTACCGGTTATAGACCGGTAATTCAGAACAAACTGTCACCATGTCTAAACTGTCACAATTGTGGGGTCATGGAGCGTCTAGCTAGGACGGTAAATATGCCACGTATTTTTATTTACGACCGTTAATGTTTTTAAGTAAAAAACGAAATAAAGTAATAATACTTATCTAAAATAACGTTGACAAAGTGCGAATTAAATAAAGACAGCGTTTTCTTAGTCACATTAAAGAAAATCAGTGCTAGATTGTCGAAAACAACAATGACAATGAAGTATTCTTTTCGCCGGCTCGCAGTCGAATAAAAGAGTTATGGATAATTGACAGTATTTTAGTGCGCAATGTATTATGGCCGCAGAGTCCTTCTAGTTGTCTTTGGGTCTGACACAATTATTTTTTTACTTTAGTTTTCCCGGCTGGTGGTGGATGGTGATGAATTTATAGATAGCAAATATCAGTAGCTGTGTGTAAATTGCACTGCCTGTATCAAAAGCCTATTCACGCTTGTCTTAAAGGCGCGCTCAGATTAAAGACACACAGTCTTTTCTTTTTCTTAATATAAAATGAAATTGTTTCCAAGCATTTCCTAGTAAATATTTATGTTTTTAACTTTTTAAAGTAGTAAATCGAAACTGGTTGGTATTGTAATCAATAAATGATATACTAATTAGATATTCAGATGTTACTTAGATACGAAAATCCACTATATTAAAAATGAATTAGCTAAAATTTTCGTAATAAAATAAAATTACCTGCCTTACCTAGTTTGAGGAGCTAAATCTACTTAGCAATCAACCACCGCAGAGTCTACTGTACCTGAGGATGCCTCGTGTAAAGGTGAAACATGTGTTTTCTTATTTTTACACATGGTGTGTTTTTCCTAGACTAGCCGTGTTGGGAGAAATATTACTAGGATTAGTGAGTCGAGTAGTGGAGATAGTGCACGAAGTTGAGGACGATAGGACGTGCTCATGAAACTAGGTTAGTAAGAAACATTATTTAATTTTATTATGCGGATTTTAATTCCTAATTATTAATTTTTAACATTTTTAATGGGTGGTATTGTTCCGAACAGATTCATGTTCGAGGGCCGCGAGATAAAGCTGGTGCGAACGTGCGCGGCGTTCATCACCATGAACCCGGGCTACGCGGGCCGCACCGAACTGCCAGATAATCTCAAAGCGCTCTTCCGGCCCATCTCCATGATGGTGCCCGATTACGGTAATATCTTCTTAGTTGATTATTTCGTTATAATCGTCATGACAGTCTTTCACAAGTCCAATGCTGTGTAGCATTTAATAGGTGTAAAGATGTACCATCTTTTTCCCAATTAACAACCTCATGTGCAAACGGCGCACCCTACTCACGAACACAAGCGATCGAAATGTAGCGGCGTATTAACACAAAAAAAACCTCACAGAGTGCTGGAGTCATTGCTAGTGCAAGGATGTCTCATTTAAGAAGTCGGGTCAGCACGGCGAGAAGAGTTTCAAGTTATGCCTAGATTTTTTGCGTATCTCGAAAAACCAGTGAGGCATACAGTGGTAGAGTAGGAAATACTGATAGATCTAAGAATACAATGCTTAGTAGGCAAACTTCAATTATCCTATTTTTATATATTTATTTGTATGATGGTTTCTTTTAAAGGTCTTAAGATGAAAATTTGTCCAGTAAGTTATTACTGAACCCAGTGATGGTTGTGAATATATCACAAATGTAATTCGTATAGGCGACTGTAGGAAATTCCAGATATATCTTCATATAGATTCCGGTGTATTAATCTCGTTAACCGTTACAACGCATTATAGTCCACAGGTGAGCATAGGCGTCCCTATCATCAGATGGGTGAAGTCGATGCTCTCAAACAGAAAGGCAAAATTAGCGCTGCTTCAAACTTCGATTGAGGTTGCAACCACATGACTGGCTACTCACAACGAGGTGTTTTGTCACCCCTTCTCTGGACTCTTGCGATTGACCAGCTATTGTACAAGACGGCAGAACTACGCATTGACACACTTGGTTATGCTGATGTCCTTGTGATCATTGCGAAGGGATTTTGCCTAAAATACTTTATCGTCAAACATACAAAGAGCCCTAAACACCATCAACAACTGGTGTAGGTATAAAAGTTTATCAGTTAATGCTGATAAAACTGTTATAATACCCTTTACCAAAAAGAGACGGTTGGACAAATTAGAACCACCTACATATACAAAACTTAATGGTAAAGAAGCCATCATTCATCACCATTTTCCACTGAAGTTTAATACTTGGGCGTAACAATCGACCAAAAACTAACGTGGAACTCTCACTTTAGCAACATATGCCATATGGCAAAAATTGCTTTAGGTACGTGCAGTTGTTTGGTCGGAAACAACTGCGGCTTGCGTCCCAGTATGATACTACGGCTGTACAGCAGTATAGTGAGGCCGATCCTCACCTATGCCTCCACTGTCTGGTGCAACAAGACCAACCAAAAGAAGACTGCGGACAGACTAAATAGTCTACAAAGGACTGCCTTCTTAATGGCAACTGGAGCTATGCAATCAGAAACAGAAACCGAAACTTTTTTATTCAATGTAGATTATAAAAAATACTTATTGAAAGTCAATTTTTTCATTTACCACTGGTACGATCAATGATCAACACCTGGAGCGGCTCTTAATGCACTTCTATGCCTAACACACGTTGATCTTTATCTAGACAAGGAGGCGAAGGCTAATTTGTATAGGATTAACGCCCTGAGTCTGAGCTTGCTCTCCTTCAGATTGAGAATACCATGCTCGACTCAATTAAGGAAATACCGGTCTTATGCATGATCTCAGATATCATGCGTCCACTATACACTTTTAATACAAAGCATATAGTGGAACTACCCTCCAGAGAAAACTGGCTGAATGGTCAGGTAGTTATCCGTAAGGTCGGTAGCCTCATATGGTATACTCATATAGTATATGGAATTTACGGGGAACGCCCCAAATTCAAACTTAGTATAAATTTGGGTAGATTCACCTCTATCTTCCAGGCAGAAATTATCGTCATACTTCAGTGTGCGGAAATTAATCTGCAAAAATACTACGTCAACCATATAATTTATAAAAATTCTGATAGACAAGTGGCACTGCTAGCGCTGAGGCCTAACTTAAGGTTAGGTTACTTTGAGGCCGAAGCTAGTTGGAGACTGCGTGAACCATTTAAACGCCCTGTGATGTAATAACAAGGTGGTCTTAGGAAGGGTTCCGGATCACGCGGGTATTGTAGGTAATGAATGTACCGATAAACTTGCACGGGAGGGCTCAAAGAGTACACGATTTGAACCTGAGTCATTTTGTGGAATCTCAAGAAACCGAGCCCGATTGACCCTTGAAACTCTTTATCACAATAAATCACTTAAAATCTGGTCTGACACACCAGGCTTAAAACATTCTAAAAACTTGATCCGGGCTTTTGATCGTAAATTCGCTTCAGAAGCCCTGGGATTAAGTAAAAATAAACTGCGTTTTCTGGCTGGAGCCCTAACTGAACATTGTTGTTCAGTTAGGGGCTCATCAGTTCATCCTGTTTCATTTGCGTAACACTCATCTGGGAAACTATGTACTCCGCCCAGATGAAGTGAAATTGCTCACGGCTAAGCAACTCCTTCTATTCATTGGAGACATAGGGCTAGCGGTGAACTATAGCCATAGCAGCGATCACAATTTTTTATTTATTTATTATTTACTTCAAGTACCCAGGACTCATTTATTACATTACATTTTTTTCATCGTATGTAACAAAATATGATGGGACAAATATCCTTTTTATTCCTTCCTCTGTGGTGCCCATTGGAGGCAAATCTCAGCCATGGTTTGGTCGCTCCTGTAAAATAGCATCATGCTATAAGCAGGAGTGCTACCGAGCCTGGGCTGACGCTTCAGCGTCCAGGGATGTAAACACCAGCGCTCTAAAAAAAGAAGTATAATTCCGCCTCTAGGTCCTTCAAAAGAGTCATTGCCAAGACAAAGTCAGAGCACATAGGCAGAATTGGCGAGAGACTAGTTCGTCTTCCTTCTGGAACCCGTGCATTCTGGTCTCTCGCCAAGGCTGTCCAGGGGAATTTCTGTCAGCCATCTCTTCCATCTCTGCACAGGGAGGACGACTCACTGGCCCACACCGCAAAGGAGAAAGCCGATCTTCTAGGCTCTTTCTTTGCGTCTAACTCGACTCTCGATGACGGGGGGAGTACGCCGCCGACCATCCCGCGGTGTGAGTGCTCCATGCCGGAAGTGCAGTTCACTCAGCGCTCGGTTCGCAAAGCACTCCTCTCCCTGGACATCTATAAGTCGAGTGGGCCTGATGGAATCCCCCCAATTGTGCTGAGGACGTGTGCTCCAGAGTTGGCACCGGTTTTAACGCGTCTTTTCCGGTACTCCTACTCCCTAGGCGTAGTCCCAAAATCATGGAAGACGGCTTTCGTCCACCCGATCCCTAAAAAAGGCGACCGCTCAGACCCGTCCAACTACCGGCCTATCGCCATCACCTCCTTGTTCTCCAAAACAATGGAGTCCATTGTAAACTGCCAGCTCATGAGGTACCTTGAGGATCACCAGCTGATTAGTGACCGCCAATACGGTTTTCGCCGTGGTAGGTCAGCTGGTGATCTTCTGGTCTACCTAACTCACAGATGGGCGGAGGCAGTAGAGTCCAAGGGGGAGGCATTGGCCGTTAGTTTGGACATTGCGAAGGCCTTCGATCGGGTTTGGCACAAAGCGCTTCTTTCGAAGCTCCCTTCCTATGGGCTTCCCGAGAAATTGTGCGATTGGATCACCAGTTTTCTTGCAGATCGGAGCATCAAGGTCGTTGTAGACGGTGCAAGCTCCGATTGCAAGCTTATTAATGCTGGTGTTCCACAGGGCTGCGTGCTATCGCCAACGCTGTTTCTTCTGCATATCAATGATATGTTGCAAACCCGTAGCATTCATTGCTATGCAGATGACAGCACTGGTGATGCTCTTTACACCGGCCGAGCCAATATTTCTCGGGAAAACGTCTCTGAGTGCCGGGACAAACTTGTGTCTGAAGTCGAGTCTCTGCTGGACAGAGTCTCGGATTGGGGGCGACTAAATCTAGTCCAGTTTAACCCCCAGAAGACACAAGTTTGCGCGTTAACCGCTAAAAAGAACCCCTTTGTCGTATCCCCTCAGTTTCAAGGCACTCCCCCTTGTTGCCTCAGCCAGTATCGGAATCCTCGGCGTCGACATATCGAGTGACGTGCAGTTTCGTGGTCACTTGGAAGGGAAGGCCAAATTGGCCTCTAAAAAGCTTGGCGTGCTCAGCAGAGCGGGACAGTATTTCATGCCGGCACACCGCCTGCAACTTTACAAGGCGCAGGTTCGGCCGCTCATGGAATACTGTTCCCATCTCTGGGCTGGGGCTCCCCAGTACCAGCTCCTTCCACTTGACCGCATCCAGCGCAGAGCGGCTCGAATCGTCGACGACCGAGTGCTTTCCGATCGGCTCGACTCACTGGCGCTGCGAAGAGATGTTGCATCTCTTTGCGTTTTTTTATCGCATCTATCACGGGGAGTGCTCTGAGGAATTGTTCGGATTAATCCCAGCCGCCAAATTTCGTGAACGCACTACACGGCAAACGTCCCGATACCATCCACACCATCTGGATGCTTGGCGGTCCACCACTGTACGTTTCAAAAGGAGTTTTCTTCCGCGTACAACCTCTCTGTGGAATAATTTACCACCGGTGATTTTTCCGGACCGATACGACCTGGGGACCTTCAAGAAAAGAGCTTACTCCTTTCTAAAGGGCCGGCAACGCACCTGCAATTCCCCTGGTGTTGCGGTTGATCATGGGCGGCGGTAGTCACTTAACATCAGGTGAGCCACATGCTCGTTTGCCCCCTCTTCTATAAAAAAAAAAAAAAAAATATATTTAAACTATTAATTATTACTAAACGCTGTAATGCACATAAACAGCAGTCAAATTACGAGTAGCTGCTGGGCACATGCAGTCTACAACAATGTTGCAGATAGGGACAGTTCACTCTGTCACCTATCATTTTAAGAATGCCATTGGGGCTGGCCCTTACCCTACGCACCAGCGATGCAGCTCTTTTACGCGAAGTTGCGTAAAAACAATCTACATGTGCTTGAGCAAACATCGTTGATGCGCTGCAGCGTCGGGACAGCCCCATAAGCACCCGGAACGCGTTGCTATATTGGATCCG